TGCTCTTCATGTTTCCAGACAAGTATAATTTAAGGAAAACTTATGTGGACTTGTGTGTTGCACATTCCTTCCAATAATCCTTAACTTCTGGAATAGTTTTTGGTGTTGTAGATAATTTAGTGTGTTTCTGTAAATCTGTAATTTTAATGTATATTTGTAAAAATACATATTTATACACGTGTTTCTTATGCAGCATTTCAACTTATTTTGACAGGTTGAAGAAATTAGAGAAATGGTAGACAATGACTTGGGATTTCAGCAAGCTCCGCTCATGTGTTACTCTAGAACGAAAACTCTTCTTTTTATTTCTAACGACAAAAAAGTTATTGGCTGTTTAATTGCAGAGCATATCCAGTGGGTAAGTGATTGAACTGGAGAAAGGTAGCCTCTAAAAGTTGGTGCTTGGTGACTGTGTTCTTCAGACATGCTGAAACTATAGAATTACCTAAGAGTTTGAGACTAGCCATTTGGCAAATAAGTACAGACACTTTAATGACAGGTGGTAATAAGAATTAGATTTTCTTTGTTGATATTATTTTAAATCAGATAAGATTTAGGTTTTTTTTTTGTGAGGTTAAATCGTTTATCTTATATTTCAATTCTGAAATTGTCAACAGAAATCAAATTAGACAGATGCATTCTTTTTGGTGAGGCGTTTAACATGTATGTATGTTCAACTGAAATATATTTCGCAAGAATTGTATTTAATCATTAATGATGCTTTTATATAGTAACATATTTTGACGTCACCTGCAGGGCTACAGAGTTATAGAAGAGAAGGTTCCAGAAGTTAGTTCAGAAAATGAAAAAGTCATATTTGAAAGACAGAAAGCATGGTGCTGTTCAACGTCACCAGAACCTGCTATTTGTGGGATTAGTCGAATATGGGTATTCAGCATGATGCGTCGAAAGAAGATTGCTTCTCGGATGATAGAGTGTCTCAGGTAATACCAAAAGTGTTTCCTTGGTTATATGAGTTTGATGGACTGTAGTCCAAGAGATTTATTGCATTCCTTTGGGTCTCAGGCTTGCATCTTTATGTTTCCAGCAATACTGGCAATGTAAAGGTAAGCACAGTGGATGATTCCAGTGTTCTGTGGTGTTCAGTAACTAACTGAACTCAGTGTTCTGCAGGTTGTCTTAACAGTAACCTTTATGCTAAGTGCAGTTGTAATGAGCCAGCCTAGCCGACTGCAGATGAGCTTGGGTAAATTCCTCTGAGGTAATTACGAGTGGAGGAAGTGAGACTGTCTTTGGTCAGAGCATCTAAGGTCACAGTGTTAAGGACTGTGACCTAATCATTGGCCAAGTTTCTGTTCTGCAGAGGTAGCAAAGGGAAAAGAGCAGAAACACGTACCCGGAACTATTTGATACAGTCGAGTGGCTAACAGCCGTACTTCGGTGATAGTTTTGACCTTTTTATTTTTTTGGCTTTGCTCAGGTTCACTGAGACTTCTGAAACATTAACTTCCATAGAGATTTAGTAGCTTGTAATGAGTGTATTCAGCTGAAGACTAAGTACTAGGTGCATAAAAGGACACAAATATTCACACTGCTGTTGAGACAAATGTTAAAAATGTTGAATCTCCAAACCTTTGTTCATCTTCTTTTCTTTTTTTTTTCCCCCCTGTTCTCTGGAAACTCCTGAACATTAAAATATTTTCTTCTAGTGACATTTCCTAAAAGTCTGACTCCCTCTCCTGAGTGATGCGCAAACTGCTCAACTCTTGTTACTGCTGGGCTGTCAGGTTTGTGCCAGCTGTCTGGCTAGCCTCATCTGTTGGAGTTTGTGGCACAGGGACGCTCATGTGTCTACCAGTCCTCACACTCTCAGCTATTTGGAGAGCCTGGCAAAGCTGTTCCACAGCAAGATAAATGCATCCAAATGGCTGGTGCAGCAACTTGAAATTTCCTGTTAGGTCACGTTCTGTCTGAACTATCAGCTGTAGAACTGGATTCAGATAAGCATATTACCACGATGATTTTGGGGTGCTCTTCTTTTTGAAGGCTGATTTTTTAATCCATATATTCAGTAGTGTCCTATAAACTATTTATGATGGAAGGACTTCTTCCCAGAACAATGCTGGAGCTGCTCCCTCAGTCACAGCTCTAAAGGATCCTTGGAGTCCTTTTTAATGGATTGTTACTGCTATCAAGAAGAGGTGTCAGTTCTCCTCTTAGCTGTGCACTGCACCTCACCTTTTACAGTCTTCTGGTGCTTGTTTAGCCTTCCACTAGATCATTTTTAATTTGCTAAGTAGTAGAAAGCAAGTTCACCCAAAAGAGCTCTTTTTTGATGCCCAGTTAGCTGGTTTGCAGAAAGGCTGAATGTGCACTGGGTTTGGTGTGAAGGAGGGAGCGCAGTAAGTTGCAGAAGGTGACGTAAAGGAGCAAGGCCTGCTTTTTAATGGCAGTAAGCAGTTGGATCTGCTCAGCTGCTGGTGAAGCTTCAGCCTCAGTGTCTCCCCGAGCAAAAGGCAGTATGAACAGGATGATTCTGGTAGCCAGCTAAATCCCACCTTCAAAATGTTGAAGGTATCCTAGCAGAAGTTAAGTTCACTTTGAGAGCGTCTGCTCCATTTCACTTGAGCTTGCAATGCTTGGAGTCAAAAATACACAATGCAATACATAAATAGATCCTCAGGTATTGACTGGTATTTTTCAAAACCATCTTCCTAAAGGTAGTAATATACTATTGAGAAGGCAATAAAGCTGGTAATAATTGAAGAAAGACTTTGTTGCTGTTGTCTTTTCCTCAAGATGTAATGGAGATGTCCATATATGATAGATGTTTACACTTGCTCTGCAAGTACCTGCAAGTATATTTTACCAGAACTCAAAAAGTTAACTTTGGGAGTTTCTTCTGTTTCCAAAGAAGTTTATTTTGTTTTTCGCTTCACCTACGTCTTAAAGCCTGAGATCAGTTTTCTAACTTTGCTCTCGTAGCCATCCAAAAAAATACAGTGGTATCTTTGATTCTTTCCTACCTTCAAGTAAGAATAGAACATGTATATGATATTTTCATGAAGTTAAATCAAATCTTCATGTAATCGCTATTGAAAATGTATCACTTAGGAATTTTGTGCTATGTTCTTAAACGTCCTAAATTAATCCAAGCTGTGCTCTATCCAAATGTCAAATGTTTTGTTTATTTGTTATTTGTTTCTTCAAACTAGAAACTTGAAATTTCATCTGGTCTGTTGAGACCCCTCAGTCAGGACCCTAACTGCTTTGCAGCTTACATTTTCATTCCTGGTGATTGTAGCCCCATAGTTCTAGCAGTGTCTTTTCCGTGAAGAAATAGTTGGAATGATTTCAGACCTTCTTTTAAGCTCTGAAATTGAACTGTTGTTGCAACTTGGATGAAATTGCCCTCTACAAACACTTTCTAAGATACCAAAACCTTCCTAGCACAAATGATTCCTTTTACCATTTGGAAAGAGGATATAGCGAATATAAATGGAGGTTTCTGATGGGTTGTAGCCTAATAGCATAAATACTCTTACGTTATTTCCTGAGGGTAATTAATGTGTTGTGTTCTTTTTTTCTTCCAAACAGGAGCAACTTCATATATGGCTCATACTTAAGTAAAGAAGAAATTGCTTTCTCCGACCCCACTCCTGATGGAAAACTCTTTGCGACGCAGTACTGTGGCACCGGCCAGTTCCTAGTATACAACTTCCTCAATGGACAGCATCAGACTTAACTGCTTCTGAAGGAATTCCCTTTTTATCGGGAGACTTCTGCCAAAATGTACTGAATCGGTGCAGACCTTATGCAGAAGCCAGGGCCATTTTTCTTACCGTGAACTCAGGACTGGTAACAACCAAAAGGTTGTACTATTTTATTAAAATTGTAAACAATGCAGTAATAGGCTAACTTTGTTTTTTTAAAAGAAAGATATTTTATTAACTTTTACAGAAGTTTGATTGTATTTTATCTAGTTAGTCATGTTTACATGCAGCAGAAAATTGTTCATAGTGGACTGTAAACTAAAATGCAAAGACTATAGTCTCACTGATGAGTACCTGCTGAAGTTCTTAACGTGGTGATATACCAGTGCTTAAACACCGCGGGTGGGTGAGGCAGCAGAGTCCAAGCCTGAGCTCCTGGCATGCATCCTGCGCACGGCCGGGCGTAAGGGCAGCCTGGGTGATGGCTGCGGGGAAACTCGTTTTACCTCCTGTCTCCCGCAGAGGTGGAATGAAACCCCCACTGAGCGGTGTGCTCTTGGTGTCCCTGCAAGTGCTGTACTGAGTATATACCTTTGTTAGCGGACTTCACTTGGATACTTGTCGCTCCTTCATAAAGCTCTCCTCTTTTAAAGGGTTTGTATGTTGAAAAACTGCTGTGGCCTTTCTTGATCTGTACATAATGTAGATAGATTGAAAATAAAATTCTTGATAGCTTTTTCTAAAGTTACTCTGTATTGATACCGAGTGTGAATGAATCTTTGGTGTGTTTTATACTTTCGTTTCTGTGAGATATTACCTTAGCAGCTAAAGGCAGCTGCTGGGTGTTTGGAAGCGCTCCTTGGAAAGCAGCCACTGCATCTCACCTGCTTGGGATCGGAATCACCTGACTGACAACGCGTTTGCACTGCATGCTTATGGTCAGTTCCCAGCACCTCTGGCTTGGTAGCAACCTGCTATGAGGTAAGATGGGAGGTAGTAAGTTCATACTTGAAAAATGGCTTAAAAACCCTACTGTGGGATGGGTAAGATTCAGGTGGAATTTAAACATTTGTGCTTGTTTGTTTGTTTGTTTGTTTTTATGGAACTTAGAGTTTTTTTAATTTTGGAACTCTCAGATCACAGGTACCCAGCCTGAAAAATCCGCAGGACTGGCACCATGCTGAACTAACCTTTTTGTAACAAGTAACACTCAGTGTAGCACCGTGCTGTGAGTTTCTCCTGGTATAAGCACTATGTTTTAAGGCATTTAAAAAAAACAAACAACATAAACTTTGTCTGGTGCAAACAGTTAAAATAGAGGCAGTCTTAAATGGTAACTTAATATATTCAAATTTAATGAAAGCACATTATAAACATACCATAGCCACAACTTCAGACAGTTTCAGTTCATAAACAATAACATGAGGTAGACTGACTAGTGAAGCTAAATTCACCAAGTTTTTGGTTAAGAAAACTTTACACTAGGAAAGCAACGTTTTGAACCCTCCTCCAAAAGTCACAAAAAGCAATTACATAAGTTAAGCAAAAAGCATTTGAATATGATTCTTTAAATCTTAGTTTACATTCAAATTTAACCTGCGAATAGACAGTAACATCTACAGGAAAAATATAACGCTGGCCAATTTAATACATTCATAAGAATGGCCTTGATGGTGAGGCTTAAACCGAAAAAGGAATAACGATAACCCAGATGTCAAATAACGGTATCCTTTCCAGGAATTCACAGGCAACAAGTTAAAAGTTTTTAACCAGCCAGGCCTACAGGGTTTGAGCTTCTTAGTATCTATCCTCTTTTCCATTACAAAGCTCCTTGCTTCTGCATGGCAGAGAGAGAGGTAAGGAAACTGGTTTACTGTTCCTCGGTAAAGGAAGGCAAATACACTGACGTTCTGACTTCGTGCTCAACCTTCAGGACAATTTTGCACTGCCTCACCAGAGGGCTAACTTGCCATAGTAGTCTCAGCACCTGGACTTTTAAGAACTTAGTGCAAACATCAAATACACAAACAAAAGGGCGGCTCAGTACCTCACGCTTCACACTGAGACTCGGGGTGTCCTTCAGCCCTTCTGGCAAAACCAGAAACACTGGCACGCAGTCAGCTGCGTACCAAAAGCTTCGAGAAGCATCGTGTGCATTCCTACATCTTCCAAGTGTTAAATATAAGGCAGGTTGTGTCTGAAGGAAAATATAAGTGTACAGAACTTGGTTGTTCACATGAAATTTGCCAAATGTACAGCATCAGAGTGAAGCTACATTAACACATTTATATGCAAACCATTTTCCTTTAGCCTCAGTCTAATATATGTTGTTTTTCCCATTTGTAAACACCTTTTCACCAGATAAAGAAGTTGCTCAATTGACACTGTTTAAAAAAAATGCAGCTTTGGCAGGTCCTTCTCCAATGAGTTGTAGGTCAAGGATAAAGAAAGATGTGTTAGTTTTGGGGGGATTAGATGAACGTACCTGAACCTCTTCTAAAAACATGCTGCACTTTTTAATAAATGAGCTTATGGTGTGCAGAGATATTTTTATTTTGGAAAGATATGGAAATAGCAATTGGTTAACTGCACGAGGAAAACAGCGTACTGGTGTGCTTCAACCCTGACAGCCGAATCGTACCGCGCTGCATTCTTTCTGGAGCAGCTCGCAGGCCACAACCACTATGCACAGAGGTCAACCAAACGAGGGGCTGGCGGTGCTAGGTGGGGGTTGCTTCTGGACAGAACCTCTCCTGAGCAGCCCCAGCTCCTCAGGACTTCCCCCCTAAGCTGTTGTACACGCTGCTCTCATTCAGTTGGACTCTTCTTTTCTCTCCCCAGTGCAGCCCCGGCACTGATGCCCTCCTGGCACCTGAATCACGTACGGCTGTGACAGGACAGACCTGATCTTACACCTGCAGCCAGCTGGAGCTGTGTGAGAAGGACACCGAGCAAGCCAAGGTACCTAGCGGGTGAAGTAACGCTGCTGGGAGCACCTGTGTGCACGGTGCCTGCCACGCGTCTGCTGATTTGTTCAGGTTTAAGTAGTAAACTTAGAACACCTGTGGAAATTTTGCCAAAGACAGTTTCAATACATACACAATTACAAATCTTCAACTAACACTGCACAGAGAACAAGACTATTCCTTTTAATACAAATACCTACGTTACATTGTAGTTTCAAACCCCTGAGTATTCCCGTACCGAAGTACAGAGCTGAAGAGAAACAGCGGGCTCTCCTCCACGTATCTTCAATAAATCCCATATGCTGCGTTGAGTTTCTTGTAACACATTCAAGCTAGCAGCTGCGGAAAGCAGCCTCTTCCCCTAGCTCAGCTGAAGGTAAAGAGAATTCTTCATTGACCAAATCACGTCCTCTTCCTAGATCCTACGCCTCGGCTGGCGGTGTGATTAGTGCCAGCAGTTGTGACTGATGAGAACGTAACGCGAATCCATAATCCTTCAAATCGTAACTGCTGTGGTAATTTTATACCTAGGAATAAAGCCTACTTTAGAATTTTGGGGAATCCTTTAGAGAAGTCTAGATAAATATTGGTTGCACTTTGCTCCACAGTGATTGTACTTTTTTTTAAAAAAAAAAAAGTTATTTTTTTCTTTGTTATCGGTGTCTTATCGAAGCTTATATGTGGCGTCCGGTAAGAAAATAGAGCGGTTTGTCATCACTGCTGTTAGCAGTTTGAAACTCATCCCGGAGGCGGAACTGCCACTCGTCCTCCAGCTCCAAGCGGACTATCGTCTGCCGTAGCGAGCTTCTGTCTTGACATATGACGCACAGCGTGGCACCTTCAATGGAAAAGCACGTTAGATCCTCGGTACAATAACAACTGTCTTTTCTCAATTCATTGCTCTAGGCAGTGTAAGTACAAGGTGTTAGTATCAACTGTAGCAGAGAGCACGAACCTGGATCCAGGATCCTTAAATCATTACTGATATAAGCAGCATCAGCAGCTCCATCACCCCGCTGCGCCCCAGCATTGCAGCAGCCTCAGCACAAAAGGGACGTGGCTCAGACACACCACAAATGCACCAGAGCTTTCCAACGTGTTTTAGCTTTACTGAATGTGTATGGCGACTCACTGTGTGTTACTACTAAGCCAAAATGATGAGTAACAATTTTGGCAAAATTTATGAAGCTGCGGTGGGGGTAGACCCCCACCATCTTCCAGCTAAGAGCTGCCCGTCCTACAAGACTGAGTATTTACTGCCATTGTATAGATGACTGGAGTAGAGTTTCTCATCATCATCGGTAAGCAACATCTACTCTCTAAGCTCTCAAGTTGCAGAGTGTGTAACTCACTGAACGATTTCCATACATCCTTGGTTTTGTGCTCCTGTCTCTGTTTGATGTCACTTTATAATAACATAATGAACGTGATTTATCAAAGCTTAGCTAAGGTTCAATTGCCTGCGCTTATTACTAAAGGGGCAGCATTTTACACTCCAAAAATAAACAATCCATCTGCTTCTTTTGAAAACGATGGCAGCAGCAACCGCAAATGGAGCTGCTTAATGAACCTGTTTGTTCTTCTAACCGTTCCCTTTTCCTCCGTGCTACCGCTTCACAGGCAAGCAAGGCAACAAGGCTGTGCAGCAGGGCAAAGTGATTACCTTTCAGAAACCTGAATCGCTTGAGGAGGTCCGCGCCCACAAAAGAGTCACAGAGATAGAGCAGAAGTCCGCTGAAAAACACCCCTTCGCAGTTGACGTTGACCGAGTGCGGGCGGGAGCTAACGTAGCATATCGCCACCTGGAACAGAAGGGGAAAAGAAAGCCAGCCCGTCTCCGTTAGCCGTCTCCGTTAGCAAACGATAGTTAACTAATTACACAGGCACTGAAACTAGCGAAGCGCCATCTCCTTTGTGCAGCCACAGTGGCCAGCCAAGTGGTTGCCAGCACTGGGACTCTCCCACGTTTCAGTGCCGTTGAAGGGTTTCTCCTCTGCCTTGCCACTGACCTCCGTGAAACAGGCCAGAAAAAAACTCGTGTTGGGCTTTCCCTCTGCTTCAGCCCTTGTTCAAACTGACTGAAGGGTTCAAAGATTACATCTGCCTAGCTATAGATATACTTGCAAAAATAATAAAAAAAGTTTCCCTAGAAGCCCATTTCACAAAAAGAAGAGCCTGTAAATAAATGGAGAGAAGCACTGCACAGAAAGAGCTTTGTCCATCAGTGAAGCGAGCTGCCAGAAGAGCCGTATCAGAAACTCCCAGCCAGAACAAGCTTGTTGCAAGGATAAAGCAAGCACAGATGATAAAATGCTGTAAAAATATGGGTGTGACAGTGATCTGAAAACTTCTGTGGGTAGCTGTACAGAAAGCTACAGAGCACACCCAGTTTTGTCATGGCAAAACAGCATCACTTCAGGACTTTTGCTCTACGTGAAATATTATTTACGTAAGATGGACATGCCCCCTCCCTTTGTACATCCTATCAGTCCATCACAATCTCTGCCTGCACCACCCAGCGAGGAGGTTTTACTGCCAGCCCCCAAGAGGTCCTTCAAGCTCAAACACCAGAGATGTTTTACATCAGCATCTTCAAACGCTACCCGTGGTGCTGAGGGTTCACAAAAGGGGTTTTTCAACCTAAAGAACGAGTCGCAGTGACGGTTGGTGTTTACCGGTCCCCGTTACCCCTGTGTGTTTTGTACCTCGAGCCCAATGTTCAGGTAGCAGTCAATGGCCAGCACCGGGTTCTTGAAGTTGTGAACAGCCTTGGGGAAGAGTTTGTACGTCGCGTGCTGAAGGAACTTCTCCAGGAGGAACTGCGATGGGGCTGCCAACAAGGTATGCTCGCTGTCCGGGGCACAGACGTACTGAAGAGGCATTATTGGTGCCAGGCTGTCCGAAACCTGCAACAAAACCAAGGAGAGCAACTTTTAACCCCCCCGCTAAGTGCATCTTCTCTGCAGGAGTTCATCCAGTTAGGGAAGGGGTCACCATGGCAGAGAAGCACCCACAGCTTCTCCAGACAGCCTGTGCCAGTGCCTCACCGCCCTCTGAGTGAAGAATTTCTTCCTAATGCCTAATCTAAACCTCCCCTCTTTTAGTTTAAAACTGTTTTAGTGTAAAACCATTAATAGATTAGGAGGATTGTTGTTAATAATTTATAATTAGCAATGTATTTATTATTTTCTATTTAGGTGGCAGCCCTACCACAGATTATGAATGTTAGATTTCAAATAAGCCCTAAATAAACCTAAAAGGCTAAAAAATTCATTCTTTCTAAGGTAACCAGGTCCTGACTTTACCCTCAATGTAGGGTGGAGCACACACACACACACTCACCATGATTTTTGGCTTAACGATGAAGTCCTTTTGTCCTCCAACCTGGATATGTTTCTTCATGACACTGAAGTTGTTGAAGCGACAGATGAGCAGGCCACTGCTGTTGGTCCTCAGATTAAAATCTACATCTTCACAGAAATACCTGGACATTAAACACAAGATGACTAAGCCAGCTGTGCTGCTGCTGGGAGTAAGCCAGCTTTCACACAGCCTCGGCTAAAATGCATCAGAACTGGCCTAGCAGTGATTTCTGGAGACAGTCAGATACGGTTCCTGTACAAATTCTCTGCACAGCTCCTAAGAACCATTTCCTCAGGTGTAGGAAAGTGATTTCTGGTAATCTAAAGCCAAAACAGATCTTCACTTTTAAGCATGCCTGCAGGTTTCTTCCTCGTAGCAAGCTTGGCCATGCCTCTCATCCTCGTCATGTACTGCCACCGAGCACTTCTTCCCCTCCCTTTTTTTTCCATCTCTTTTTTATTTTTTTTTCCTTGTATTTTAAAGTTGACATATTTTAGAGCGCTGCAGTGTCCAGCCTCCAGAGAAACGGGCTTGGACAAATATTTGGCTGCAGGAGACAGAGCAGCAGAGACCTAACGCGTACCCTGAATTACTTCAGATGTGACGGTCCTGTCTGTGGGCTGACTCCCATCTCATGATTCAGCCAGGCAGAGAACATGACATCAAGCACTCTGCAAGCCATGCCAGACCCCGGCTTGCCCTGGCTGGCTGCAGCTCCTCGCTCAAATACACGGGATCCCTGAAAATAGCAGCAGGAGATGCCCCAGGGCCAGAGAGGGGGTTTACTCCAAACTCACTTGGCCACGATCAGGGGGACAGGGAATTGGATTTTGCCAATGTCTGCGATGAGAATTAGAGGTAAAGCCCCATGACAACAGTGTTTTATTTAAATGCTTTAGGATGGAGTTAGAAGGAGGAAAGGAAAAAAAGGAAGTTTATAGCGGAAAGTTAACTGTTCATCTCTTTAATTTCCAAACTAGGTGGCAACAGGGAGGAGAGGTGAGCGAAGTGCCAGGAATCCCTCCTCAGAGCACGTGGCGTAGCAGTGCTCAGCCTCTGCCTACACTCTTGCTCTCAGTCACACAGCAGGCTCCTGCCTCTTACAAAGGCTCCACACGCTTCCTGTGACTGCTGTCACTTTGGCCTCTTCCCTCTATTACTGATCTCCTCCTCATTTATTTTTTTCTCCTGAAGCTTTTCTTCTCTGATCCCTGCCCCTTCAGTCCTCTGCAGCCCTCCCTTGCCTCGCCTCACGGTCTCCCTCTGGCAGCTCTTTTGGCGCAGCGTGCACCACTGTGCTGTGATCGTGTACCTCAGCCCGGACCTTCTGATTTAACCCCAAAGCATTTAGAAAACCCAGCGACAAGCTGCTCGTCACGCCACCCCGTTTCAGCACCAGCACGTCTTGCCTACCTGTTCAGATCATATTGCACATTCTGGGTCAGGTCTATGTTGAGCAGTATAAAGTCACGCACGTGGCACCTGGAGAACGGAGCCTTCGTGCTCCTGGCATTCAGCTTGCTGTTCCACTTCTGCACGCCCAGTATTGCATAGTGAACGATTTTGGGGGTGGCTTCCATGTGCTGGAGAACACTCTTCAAAGAGACGTTCTTACTGGTACCCTCAGGCTCCAGGGACTGGCTGCAAAACGTAATCACACAACATACAAACCTGGCTGATAATGCTTATAGAACACATGCCATATATAAGTGCTTCTGTGTGTGAATATATCTATATATATGTATGTATAATTAATGGAATGTATATACAGGTCCAAGAAAGTCCATTAGCAATCCCTACTGTTTATTCTCCATGCTGTAAAATATATAAACAAACACAGACTTTAAAGAGCAGCCAATTAATCTTATCCCCTCAATTTACTCCTCCGAGGAAAATGGGCTCTTCAGCAGAATCAGGTCTTTTGCAGCAATTTAGAAAAGGAAAAGGAATCACCTCGTGCAGCATTTCTGGAAGGCTATTTTTTCGGTAATCAACAGCACAAGCACTGAGACAGCTTAAAGCCTTCTGAAAAGCAGAAGCTTCCAAAACAAACCTTTCATTGGTAAACATGAATTGAATCAAAAGAAACGAGGGAAGTAAAATACTGAGAAATCACCCCAAATAGTCACTGACAGCACGAGTGGCTTTCGGCACAGCTGTGCACAGGCAGAGGTTTGCTGACGATGCTCGCTGTGGGACACGGCTGTAAGGGCAGAGCCAGGTGGAAGCGTGTCACAGCATTAGGTTGGACATCGGTGGCAAGCAGGACAAATCTGCAGCCTTCCCACTGCTCTGAGTGAGGGGCAGATGGTAGCAAGGAGAAGGATGTGGGTTTTGGCATTTTAGGGAATAGATCTAGTGTCCAAGTGTGCTGTTCCTGGACTATTTAACTAGCAATTGAGTAGATAATGACCGCTGTGAGGCCTTTTGGATAGCCTGCCTGATGTTGCTGCATCAAAGTCACTGCGAAAAGCGGCTCTCTTAGCTGTATTTTGAGTCCACTCCCAGCAGTTCCAGCTGCCCTGCTTTCCCAGCTGTCTGGTGTTTCACTCGCTGTCGGATGCTACAGATGAGCCGGAGCTGCAGGTGCTGACTGGAGCGGTGCTGCTGTCCCTGCTGGATCGGAGAAACCACCCTGGCGGCGCTGGGTAGTGACTCACCTGGACTGCTCGTGGACGCTGTGGATGTTCCACAGCACGCAGGAATCATCCATGACCACAATGAAAGGCCACACGCACTGGCGTTTAACCCCCAGCTCCTCCAAGCGGTTTCGCTCCAGCTCCAGGTTGTGGTAGGACAGCTCCTTAATCAGAAACCTGGCAGCACCTGAGGAAACACCGGAATGGAGACGGACAGAGATCTCAGTTTGACTTCATTGCTCTCTCTTCCCAAAGAAAGGCTACACAATGATCTGCAATCATTACCCTTTATGAACTTCGTGCTCAGAACATCTCAGTTTAAAAAGAAATCTAAATGGCCCCTTTTCAGTGTGACTGCAATCTAAAAGGCAAGCTATGAAGAAAAGCAGGCTTTTTAAGAGACTACAGAAAGTGATTTAGTGGGCATTAAAAGAATAACTTGAATCAAAGAGTGTCTGAGATCTGAAAACTGAAGCTATTTAAAACTTCTTGCAGGAAGAACTCTGAAACTGCAGGAAAATGAAGTCCAAAGTTCAAGTCCCCAGTGTTCAGCTGCAGTTAATATTTAGCTTCAGCTAACAGAAAAAGAAAAATGTGTAAAATGTCTAGAACATTCACACAGCAGGGCTGAGCAAAATGACCAAATACGGCCGAAAAGCCATCAGATTTTAAACTGAGAAGGCAGTGATCACTGCAAATCCCTTGCAGCATTTCTTTCAAACCACCACATTCTGCACACAGCTTGCTGCTATTGCCACAGCACTGTGAAGCGTTTCACAAGGTGATCCATGTTGCCCAGCACGGATGTTGGTGTTTTCACAGCACTGCCGGTGTCTCTTACCAACGCCAGCGTTGTTGAACATGCCAGGCAGGACGAGCATGATGTGGTTGGGCCAGTACTTGCGGTACAGCGGCATTTCGTACTCCTTGACCACCAGGAGGTGGAGGTGGCTGATGCCTTCCATGGCGTGGTAGAGGTTCAAGAGGCCGTGCTCGTGGCGTCCGCTTGATGGAGTGAAGATTGGACTCTTGACTGCGTTCAAATTCTGCTAGAACAGGAGACATTTTGCCAACATTACATAAAAACCTGGTTATTCCTGACGTGGGTTTTTATTTGTTATATATTCTGGTCTTGAACATTATTGATCATTGCAACACGCCAGGACTGGGATACTAGGAAGACAAATAGGGACGTTTCTCTTCAAAAACTCCAGTTCTAAGGAGAGTTAGGTAAGAATTATGCAAAGGACTAAGATAAAAGAAGGAAAAAATAAACCTGCCAACCACCACTGACTTGCAAACGTCTGTCAAGCTGACTGCACTCAGCGTATGCAGCCAGCAGATGGATGAGAGCAGCACACGCACCTTGTCAGAAACGAGTGGGAGCCGCATGCTTTCTAGATGTTTTCCTTGCTTGCTGAAGACAAAATGGTTCTCTTTGGACTTGGGGATTATAAAATGCAGTTGCACTTCTTCTCCTAGCATCGAGGATGAAAATGTGAACGCATGCAGGGTGGAGTCAGACACCTGTATAAAACAAAAAGAAGCGGGAGAAGGATTTGCAAGCAGGTAATCCAAAAGGAGCAATTGGCAGCCTGCTCTTGCAGTCACAATACTGGCAGCCACCACGAAAGAACATCCACAACATTTTCTTTCAGTAGCTAACTTTTTTATATTCTCATTTCCTCTCCCATAAGCTGCATTGTTTAGGCATGAAACTTGCCTCACTATTACAACAGCCAGCCTTCTGTACCAGGAACGATCTTTGGCCCACCTGGGCTCTTCTGAAGGCTATCTGAGCTGGAAATTATTTGTGGGTATTTACAAGGAGAAATGAAATACACAGACACAAGGAAAGAAACTGTCTCAACAAATTTTCCCAGAAGATTCAAAGACACAGGTAACATCGGGCTCTGCCTCCACAGCAGGGTGCACTGCCATTCACAGGCAGCAGCAGCAGCAGCGTGGCCGCATTAGGGTGATATTTATCCTGTGACAGCACTCTGGTAAGCAGCTAAGTAACCAAGGCAGACCCCATTAACAAGGCTGTGAGGTATCTGGGTGAGCCTGAGTTTGCACAGTGCTGCACGGAGCCATGTACGTGGATACAAAGTGCCTGCATATCTGGTAAGACTTCATCCTCGAGAGGCATGTGTCTTAGCTCAAGGTCAAATCATTTACTCTTAGCAGTCACCCCTCTATAATCTTTACTAAACAACCAAAATAATTAGCCAAAGTGTGGGTGAAGAATATAAAGGGTTTTATTTAGGTTCTGCTAGAGCATTTCCATTTCTCTTCCCCTCCTTAATGCTCACTATCCAGTGACTCCCCTTTGGATACCTAATTTCTCTGAGTTTAACTCTCATAATTCTACATGCACAGCTCAGGCGTACAAGTGGATATTCATATTTATTACTCGTCACTGTGTTTGACAAAGACGTGTAAAGGGAACAAAGGAGTCCTTTGGGAGGATTTGCTTGTGTCAACACACTGAATGAAGCACGAGGTTTCAAACAGATTTGCTGGGGCTGCTGTGCAGTACCTGACACTGTACAGTTCCAGGTCAGCCTGCTAGGTTAATAACAAGTTGTTGGGAAGGATTAGTAAGCAAGGAAAGAATGAACTGGGGTGAGAAACCTCCAAGTCAACCATTGCTGGTGGTTAATAATGTCTGAGATATCAACCAGGAAAAATCTTACCTGCCAGCCTCCCGTGAGCATAGCTGTTTATTTTGGAGCTCAAAAGGATTACAAAGCAGCTAAAAATGATCCTTTTTGTCCTGTGACTCGTAAGCTACTGTTGAGAAGCACGCACAACTACATGCAAAGGGAGGAAAAGTAGGCCTTCTAGCCTCCCATCAGAAGTGTGTGGATGGCTGGCATTTAGGAAAGACAAGCATCTCTCTCAATTTTTACAGTCCTCTGCCACGAGACACTGTGAGCCCTGTGGGCAGGCTGAATAACGCTTTGGCTTGAGACAACTAGTCACAATATTCACCCTTTGTCAGAGGCAGCTGGAGAAGAGAACTGCTCATGCAGAACGCAGCAGACACAGTTGATGCTCCAGGGTCTGTAGCTCAATATCTCCCCTGAGAATGGAAGAAATTAAACAGCTCCATCTCAGGGAAGGTGAAAGCATGAGTCCTGAGGCCAGAGCGGTACGCCTGGGGAGACCACAAGAAAAATGAAGGATGCGGTTTAGCCGTGGGCCTTGGCACCAACCTGTGCAGCAGGGTTCGTGTCCATGTACTGATGGCACTGCTCGCAGTGATGGAAAGTGTTGTACGCTGCGTATTTTGTCAGCATCATGGACACGGTCTCTCTTTTCTTCGCTTCCTCTGGTTTTGTTTCTTTGCTGGTTTCTGCAGAAGAAATGTTATGAGTGATAGAAACCAGAGCCTGGGAGCCTGGCAACAACTGTAAAGAACAAATTGCTTTGTTCCGTATCATTAGGAGATAAAAGGCTTGTTTAAGCTCACGTGTCTAGTCAAACCAACATAAAAATAATTTCTGTAGGAAAAGTATTCCTAGAAAATTCTCCTTTGGCTTACCTTGTTTCACTCTTGACAGTTGTTCTGTGTACACTGGGCTTATAGTTCTGTACTTGGGGTCGTGTACGCTCAGGTCAAAAGACATTTTACTGAAGGTCTCGATATCTGGCCAGTGGTCGTTGCTGGACTGAGTAATTTCACTGCTTTCCGTATGATCTGCAACAACACACTTGAGGTGAGCAGTACCAGGTACCCACTAAATGGTGTTTACGTGACGTTTGCTGATTTACAATTGCACAGGAGTTCACAGAGGTGCACAAATACACACACAAAAAGACATCTTTTAATGTCATAAGCATTATATCCCTGCCCATAGCAAGGGGGATGGAAATAGATGATATCTTTTAGGTCCCTTCCAACTCAAACCTTTCTGTGAATATTGCCAAAATTCAAATTGCACTTGACATAAAGACATTTCAAAGAAAAGGCAATTTCTTGGAAACTGTGGGGTGAAGCAGCCTCGTGGGTATCTTTCTGCTCCACTCTTCATCAAGCTACCGAGGCATAATTCACTCTGAACGATGTTATGTTTATACATGAAGTGCTCAGATGAACAGTTCTGTCTGCGCAGAAGATACAGGCAGGTCTCCAGTCCCTTGATGGATCCCTTTTTAAGACACGGAAAGGAGAGAACTGGGCAAACAAGAAGCAAAAGCAGAAGGATGAAAGCAAGGAGAAAGAAGGTGCAGAAGCTTATGAACTGATATGTATTATAAGCTGATAAAGTATATGATAAAGGTGGTAAAAACACATTGTTGAGAATGGGATGCGACCAGCAAGGATCAGCTGGAACATTTTTGCTTCATCCAACAGGTAAGTCCAAGGTAGGGAATCAAGTGTAAGTAATGTGAACATGAGAAAATGCTGGCCAAAGGTGACAAGCTGGAGCTGGGACTGGAGCTTGAATATGAGCTGATTCCGTTTAAAATCAGAGGGAAAACCACACAAAAGCTGGGAGCTGAGGTTCCTGACTTCAGAAAGGCAAACTCAGACGAAATGAATGCTGGGTCTACACACAAGGACACGTTCACCCTGCCCAGACTGCCCCACAGGGCTGTGAGCCAGCTGCAGTTCAGAGGCTGTTACCTCACTGGCACTGCTCAATTAACACGTGCCACTGATGAAGTGAGGCTCATTAATGTGTTCACAAAGACAAATCCTGAGAGAGCTGGCTCAGTAAGCCCACTAGACTGAGGACACCAGGGACTTGCCTGTGAGTGAGGCTTGGATTTCTTGGAATCCCGGCTGCCAAACCATCAGCAACCACCACACCGAGCAATGTAAGAACGCCGGGAGGTGTTCAGAGGCAAAAGGGACACTAAGAATGAACAAAGTCCAAGAGGAATGGAAACAGCCCATCAGCAAATAAAGTTCTGACTCTCACACATCATCAAGTGCAAGATAAAAAAATAAATAAAAAATAAAAATAAAAAAGCTTTGCAAAATGTCAAGCTGAGGCAGACCTCAGAGAAGTGCATGGAAACAAACAAAAATTTTTTTGGCTATAGCAAATGCTTCACTGTAAGCTGAGATGGAAACAAATCTCTAAAAGCTTGATACACACTGAGAACAATGAGAAAGAATAATCTCCATGCCACTTTCCTGAAAAAACAGATGTTTGAAATCAGGTGCAAGCCTGATTTCAGTGCAAGAATAATGCAGGTATCATCACCATTTCAGAGGGGGTCTATGAAACTCTGGGTCCATTACTTTGACCTTCGTGTTATTCAAAACTTGGGGGGGATGAAGGAAATAAAGATGTTGAAGTAAATGAAAAAATGCAATAAAACTCAGCATGGGTTGACCAAAGAAACACCACGTTACTTTCATCACACAGATATAACATAGATATCTATTTCTTTAAACAAAAAGCAATGCCACACATCTTACCTCTTAGCAGGTAAAGTATTTGACATGATGCTATACGACAAATTATTGGCACATTGGAAGAAAATGGAGACAATGAATGGTCTGCAAAGTTGATTAAACAGAAGATGGCAGCATGTAACATCATAAGCATTAAGGCAGATGGAGATTAGCAGCAAAGTTAGCAGAGATCAGCAGAGGGGCATACTGCTGAATACTTTCCCTAATGTCACCGTCTCCAAAAAACAACACCACACAACAACCACCATTGCCTTAAGTTTGCTGGTGACACAAATCTAGGAGTCTCTGCCAATATAGGGAAGGAATAGAAGAGCATCCAGAAAGAATTCAGTGCCCTCAAAAACGATAGCAACAGCCACTGGATGACATTCAACAGAAAAAAAATATGAGTCATAGGACTCAAATCAAGGACTAATAGCAAGCATTTCTGCAGTAGGCTGGGAGTCCCTCAGCTGGAAATGATTGAGGTGCAGAGGCACCCGCAAGGATCAGCGTCAGTGAAATGGGAAAATGGGAGAAGCCAAGTGCAATCACTGGTTTCCCCAGTCGGGGGGTTTCCGTGGAGGCAGGGAAACACAGGAGCTGTAGCACTCTGGGTTGGTTAAACGCCCCGCAGGGTCTCACATACAGCTCTGGTCAGCCGTCTACCAGAAGAATAAATTGCAAATAGATGAGCAGAAAAGAGGTACGAAACCGGTGAGAAGAATAATGAGCCTGTCATTTGTGAGGATCCTGCAAGCTGGCTCAGGCTAGCTAGATGAAAGCTTAGAGGGAAGACGATTGCTGCATGGCTACATCACAGAAGCAACCATCAAAAAGGAGTAAAAGTATTTTGATTTAAAATAACGCTGTTTTCCTTCTTCCCCAAAATGTTTACAATAGGGACAGGAGTATCTTTGGGTTGGGGAATCAAAAAAAAAATATTTTCAATCATCGGAGCATTAGGGCTCTGGAAAAGCATTCCAGTAGAAGCTGTGGGAGCAAAAAACCCACAACCCAAAACCCCAAGTAAACCCCATCTGCTCTTCTGACGCAGCTTCATGCATTCCTGAAAAGGGCGTGACACAGCTGCTGGGATCACAACAGACCAGACTGCATGGCACAGAATTGTTCGTACTTTTTGATTTCATCCTAAGTTTCTGGGGAACTTTAGTTCAAGTAACGAGGTAATAACAGTCCCCAAAGCTCCAAATCCAAGGGGAATGCATTTTTCAAAAATTTAATAGCACTTTCTGAGCAGAAATGCAAATTAATCCTTTCAAAGGTTTGAAAACAATTGCATTTTCTGGATGTCAGGTCATGAAATTCATGCACCGCAGAGTTAAATTCACTACAACCACGAAGTTATGTAAAGAACACCCTAAGAGGAATCAATTTGAAAAGGGTTTGTGCTTCTCAAGGCCAAGTCCTGCCACAGCAGTTAATGGATCTGTGAGATCTGACAAACGAGCACAAATTCAGAGAGGTGTCTTCCCTCCAGTCTTGTTCTTCAGCATAAGATCTGTAAACTCTTACAGACAGTTACAGAAGACAGTCTTACTAAAAATTGGTATCTAACTGGTAATTAAACACAAATAAATAATTGCTATCTAACTGGTAATTAAACATAAATAGTAATACTGATGTTTCAGCCAGAAAAGTAGTGTTTTTCCCTCTGTTTTGTCTGTTTAAAAGCAGACACAGCTTAAAAACTAGCAAGCAGATGTTTCCCATATACAGTTTTGTATTTACTTTCGTTTTAGTGGCATAAAAGTAACACTAATCCAAAATACACTTAAAAGCTCTTAGTTAAGACCCACGTCAAATTAACATTTTTAATCATCTATGTTTAAATATATGCAGGTGCCTACAACAGGTCTAGCTGCACAGAAATGGACAGGACAAGTGGCAGGTGTCATTGAGGAAGTCTTTGTAAGCCTAAAAAACTTGTCACTGCTTATTAATACGTAACAGAGTCACTTAATAACGCATATTAGCGATTACTTCTAAATACTCACTGGCATTTATTTCCTCTTCATCGTACACATCTACTTCCAGCAACCTGATCAGCATGCGGAAGAGGATCCTGAGGAACTGCAAATACGAGCCAGTCTTTCCCACCTGAACCAGAGGTGAAAAACAGTCTGAATCCCAAGCCAGGCTAATGCACAGGAAGGATACATTCAGGTAAATGCATTTGGGCCTACCCCTGTTATTTTGCCATTCTAGTTCTGCCTGCAAACAAAACAAGACTCAGTATTGCCCGTTTTGCTGAATGGTATCACAAAATTGATCTGAGAGGAAGGTCTGGCCCAGAGCAGAGCCTGTATCGCATTTTTTTATGCAGATCACCACTGATAAACTGCTTCTCCACTGCTAAGCTCACTGCAATTTTATACCCAGTGCCATCCACCAGTATGCAACATGCCTTAAAAAAACAGGACAATCCTTTCCTTACCACCTCCACCATGAACTTAACCTTAAATTCTGACCGATTTTTGATCTCAAAACGCATCGCTGTGTGCGAGTTTCACGGGGCCTCTCAGGCACAACCTCCACCTGCCGCAGTCCTCAGCGCCCGTCCTCTCACCCTGCGAGTAAGGCCAGGGGAAGGAACTGTGCTCTTACTTGTGGTGGGCCCGTCAAAAGCAGCCGCCTGGGGTGAAAGCTCCTCAAGCCGGACGCCTCACCCTGACCACCGAAGTCCGCGTGGTGCTGCCGGGCCGTCGTCCACTGCCGGTAGTAGAGCGACTGCTCCTCGCTGCTCATGTCCTTGTGGAGCAGGGGCCTGAGGGAGCTCAGCCAAGCCACGTCGGCGTGAGGCAGGAGGGACGAGGAGGAAGGCAGGTTGCCACTTTTCTGCGAGCTCAGGAGGCAGTAGGCCGCTTTGGAGAGGATGACGATGCGCGGCAGCGCGGCGCGCAGGGCCCGGCTGTCTTTGGCCGAGTGGCCAGGCCACCGAAAGGCCTGGGAGACCGACGACAGCGACGAGAGTTTCGAGGTGGTGCTGCTCGCCAGCTGGTTACCCAGGGAGTCGCATTCTTGCTTCAGGGTCTCCCCGGCTGTGAAAGCAGGGTAAGCCCCCTCGTCGACCGAGCTGTGCGCCACGGTCTGGAAGCTGAGCGGCGGTGCCTGCTTCTGAGACTTGTCCGCGGCGCTCGAGGAGCTGACGCCGTTGTCAGCCAGGGAGCCTGGCGAAATAGAGAGCAGGCAGTGAACAGATACTGGCTGGCATGAGAACAGGGCATTCGTTTCACTGCAACCTTTAGGTGAAGTGGGCTCTGCTCCCTCCTCCGTACCAGGCAGCTTTAAGTGTGTGGTAAGATCTGGTGCCTGGCAAAGGCTTGATCCAGCTGCCTTAACACCTCAAATTCATAGGGAAACAAAGGGAAGGAGCTCGAAGTGCCAGGCAGAAGCAAGGAAGGAAAGGTCTGGTGGGAGAGGATTCTCTGCTGAGGCCTGAAGAGGTAGGGCAAGACCCAGGCACCCTGCTGGTCTTGGCCAGGAGGCAAACACCCACTTCTACCCACAGCTACCCCCCAGTTACACAGCATTTTGCTATTCCTAACATCAATCCTGTTAAATTTCTACCCTGATTTTTAAGATCTTCTCAGGATCCACCTGACAAAACCATCAGCGAACGTGAAATGCAAGATTAAAGAAAATAATAATAAAGGACCCATCCTCCCACTGCAACGCTGCTCCCTTTTAGCTGCAGCCAGGGAAATTGCTCACCACGGCAAGAACCTGCACATAATATTTCACAGCTCAGCCTGCAGCAAGGTACAAGCCGTTCCCGTTTGATGAAGCACCTCAATATTTGCATACAAATTCCAGCGACAGATAACCAAAGACTTACTCTTTAGAGCAGCAGCAGCAGCAAACTGACCTGAGGTCCCGGTGACGGCGCTGCTGTTACTCTGCGGTCTGTCCAAGTCTATCAGCAGCTCATCAGAGTCATTCTCGCTGCCATTAGCCTTCTCGTGCTCCTTCTCGCTCAGGTCAAGAGCTACAATGGGCCCTCGAATCGCCTCCTTCGAGACGTAGCAGCATGCCAGGCCCACTTCTTGCTCTAATGCAGTCCGAGTTAAGTAGCTCGAGTCAATGAGCCGCAGGTCGCAGTACTTCAGTGACCTGCAAAAGCCGAGCCAAGAGGAAAGGATGGTTTGTTTTCTCCGACCCTGAACAACGCTCCCCATCTTTAATTGCTGATTAAATATTCACGACCAGTTCAACTAGCCAGTGAATATCACGTAATTTTAAAACACGCTGTGCTCCTTGGTGCTCTGCGCAGATGTTCCCTGACCCACGCAGCGCAGGAGCTTTACTTTTCACAAGCCACACTTTCCAAAATTTGAAACTGTTCCCAAAGTCGTCTAAAACATGCTTCTTTATGAAAAAAATGACCCGTTGGTATCAAACTACATAACTTCCCCCCCCAAAAAAAAAATATTTATCAAAACACATTAGAAAACACCCATACTGCAAGAGCCGTAACAGCACCTGGGGAAGGTTTCTCCCAGCGGATCCTTGCCCGTGAGAATAACGATGCAAGGCAGACCCTCCAAATCCTGGTAGGTGCGAGGAATCCAGTCATCCTGCTCATTGCCCCGCCAGGCCTGTGAACAGAGAACACCCAAGTCACGTCTAAATGAAACCTTCTCAGCCATCACCTCTTGTTTTATTTTGTTTGTTTTCAGTTCCTGACTTTGCTTTGCACACAGGGCTGCTCTTGGCTCAGCAGAGCTTGGTGAACACGGCTGAGTTCATCAGGGTTCTCTGTTTTGGGTGAAGCCTCCTCAAACACTGCTCTGTCTTGAGCAACTGTATCAGCATTCAAGCAAGAGAAGCGTGAGCACCCTACAGCAACTGTGAGAAGGAAGCAAAGCTGAAAGACTCAGGGACCATCGCTTGGAAAGGCAAGAAGCCAGCCTTCCCTTTTCCCTTTTAGGAAAATAAGCCACAGTTGTTTCAGAATCAGCAGGTATCTGAGCTACAGCATTCGTTCTGCTGGAAGAAGATTCTTCTTCTTTCTTTTTAATAATGGACAAAACCAGTTTGGAAGAAAATTCAGACCTAGCTGAGGCACAGAGTCTGTTTAGCCAAGTCCTACCGATGGCGAACCCAACCACTCAAACTGCCCGTCAAAATATTGATCTGCGTACGGACAGATACCCATACAGATTCGCTACAGGTGTATAAATTACAGACTCATGCAAACTGTGTGGAAACACAACCTAAAGCAAGAGCCCTGTCTTAAATTCCCTCTCGGTTCTTCAGTTCTCAGCCCGTGTGCTCAACCTGTTCTTCCCTTACCCTTCCTCCTCCCCAAAAGGCCGTGTTTTATGACTCATTTTCTCAGGCAGATGAAGGGGATTGGAAAAGAGGACTCAATAGCAGACCAGTGACTCAGCATGCCATTTTACCTTCTGAAAATTTCCACTGAAATAACCTATGACTAATTTTTTCGTAGCTTCGGAAGAACATGATTTGGAACAGCATTCCCCTTCTCTGTTATGTGGCTCTGATTTTCTTTCCCCAGCCCTGATTTTTTTTTTCCCCTGCTGATTTCTGCATCTTCTGTGTAACACGTTCGTTGAAAAAAAAAAACCATATTCCTCCAGCTACCTACCAGCCTCTGCTGGCTCAGTTAAACAGCCTCAGCAGCAGAGAGAGATTTTCTGGCCCAGCAGGGTCAGCCTGGCTGCGCCTTCCCCATGCTGGGAGGTTCTGAGAAAGTGCACGGCTAGAAAATGAAACGGGGGAAGGCAGATTCAAAACTGATTTTTCTTTCTTCTAGCCTAAAGAACGAAAAAGAAGCCTGAGTGCCTGGAGCTTTGAGCTGGAAACCCGCATGCTGATGATGTGTTTTTTGCCCACGTTACTCAGGAGGGACAGAGAACTGCAGCCCTCTGGGCTCCCCACTTGTGAATGGCTCCTGAATTGCCTTATTACACTTAAAAGGTGACCTCTATTGCCATGACAGCATGGCTGGTCTCCCCTCCTCGCATTATCCAACATCTTCGTTGGTGACATGACAGAGGGATTGAGTTGGGGTTGTTCAGCCTAAAGTAGAGAAGGCTCTGGGGATGCCTTACAGCAGCCTTCTAGTACCTAAAGGGGGCCTGAAACCTTGGAAGGGACTTTCTATCAGTGTAGTAATAGGACAAAGGGCTTTAAACTAAAAGAGGGGAGATTTAGATTTGACATTAGGAAAAAATTCTTGGCTCAGAGGGTGGTGAGGCACTGGCACAGGCTGCCCAGAGAAGCTGTGGCTGCCCCATCCCTGGAGGTGTTCAAGGCCAGGCTGGATGGGGCTTTGGGCAACCTGGTCTGGTGGGAAGTGACCCTGCCCATGGCAGGGGGCTGGAACTGGGGGATCTTTAAGGTCCCTTCCAACCCAAACCACTCTGTGATTCCCTCTCCTGCAGCAGACAGGGTTTGAGAAACAGAAGGGGTGGCTACTTTAAAGGACATTTTACCTGGTTTTGGTTGTAGAGAAGCTCTTTAGGAAAGGTTCACAAAATTCCTTCATTTTCTGTGTGCTTTAAATGCACTGTAACTCACAATGAAACTGAAAATGAATCTCTGTGTGAGACGTGAAGCAGGGATCAGGACAGATAGCCTGAACTACATTCAAGCTGGTAAGAAAGGCAACCAAACTTTTTTTTTTTTTAATGTAGCAAGGTTCATGCAGGAAGTGGATGTGGCTCGTTGTACCAGCCTCTTATAAATCCACGCAATTAGCGTGGTGCATATATGCTGTGCAGAAAAGGCTTTCAGCACACAGCCATTTGAGAAAATAAGTGCACAACAAACAGAATATTTTACCAGTTGCCAGAAGAGCAGAAGATGGTTAAGCCAGAGCAGACAGTCAGATACACTCGAGAGATAAACTGGTGGAAATAATTAGTTTGTCTAGGGAGATCCGAGCTCTGCTTTCAGAGGTTCAAAGAGGAAACCTGTCTGACTCATGCTGTTACTCATTTTTAACAAGCAAGATAACATCCGGTGTTTGACTTCGGGGACCAGAAACAATTCAATTTTTTTCCCAGAGTTCTTAAATCATTAATGCTCATCAGAAGTCCTGTATACTTCCTTGGAAAAAATAAAGATCAGGGGCTCTTTTCCTATAAAATAATGAAGTTTTAAACCTGTGGGAAGACACACGAAATACGTCCAGCAGTCAGATGACGACAATGAAATTCGTGGTTTCTGCTAACCTTCAGCCGGGTCACAAAGTGTTTGGCAACCGTAAGCTCTGAAGCGGGATTCCCGAGGAGGATCTCGAAGCGGTACTGCAGACCCAGCTTGTCCCTCACTTCTTGTAACCTCTCCTTGGCCAGCATGGCCAGCTGCACGGATGGCACCCTGATGACGAGCATGTGGCCGCAGCCATTCTTGTCCTTGCCGGGGGAAGTGATCAGGTCATCCATGATGCTGAGAGTCTCGGGCGTGCTGTGATCTCTCAGCGAGGCCATGGTCGTGAGAGCCATCAGAGCCTGGGAATACTGCTGGATGAGAAGGTAGCAGCGAATCACCATGCTGTGCAGCCGAGGGTACCTTTCGGGAGATAACGGGTCTGCGTTAGCGCACGCAAAATCACAGCAGTGGCTGAAAATTCACCACAAAACAGGACTGTGCAGCAAATAAGTACCCATTTTTTTTCCTGTAGTGCTTGAAGAATAGAGCCTTTAATTTTCACAGACCAAAATTTCGCTCAAAACCCAACTGTGTTTTAATTACTTTCTGCATTTGGAGAATGTTTAAAGTGCAAAGTCCTGCTCTCGAGTAAAAGGAATGATAAACTCCTGTCGTCTTTATTTGGGACAGAACTTCAACTAAAGATCTTTAACTTAACCTCAATACTAGGGCAATATTTACGTGTGTACTAGACCCCATTCATCCTCTTCCCAATCCACATCTTAAGAAAAGAAAGAGAGCAATAGTGGCCACTGTCTCTTCCATTGCCCTTGGTCAGAAATGCTCTAAGAAACTTAAAGAACTGATCTACTGAAATTAATTGACCTTACTAATATGGATCATGTTTATTAATTACATATTTTTAGACAATATGGATGTATTTAATGATTCATGTTGCTAATTTGATATTGCATTTTACTTTTTAAATATAGATACAGTTTCAATTAATTATATTGACTGATATAAAATAGCAAAAAACAGTACTGAAGGCAGAACAATTCCATACTGTTAAACATGGAGACATGAGAACTATATCCCGAACAGTTACAATGGATCCATCCTCCTGATTTGCAGAACAGATCAACTCCACGTTGCTGGAAACCATACCATTGCTTTTGTTTCTGTAATGTGAGCATTTAATTCTGTCCTGGAGGTGTGCTATGAAATGAGCTTGTTCAGGCAGCTACAAAGTACTTACAAGCCACTTTCAAGATCTCAGCTGCACGAACCAAAAGCCAGCTAATGAAATAATAAAATTGAAGTTTTTGGAATGACATCACTCTCCTGGGCCACCACCAACAAATTTCCTGGCAGTCTCAGCAGAGAGACAGCAGAAGCAGTGAGGTATGAAACTTCTGCTACCTGCCTAGCTTAGTGAGGGCTGAGCCAGAAGACAGGAGCAGCAGGGATGAGCTCGGACTGCCACTGCATGGGCCTAATCTTTCCGTAAACAAATGAAGTACATCCCCTGCTTCTTCAATAGTATAAAATTTGTTATGAAAATAAAAATTGCACATACTTCACGGATTCCCAGATCAACATCAAATGTCATCATGTCTTCATCTGCCTTATATGGGGCTCATAAATATATCTGTATCCTTAAGATCCCAATTAAGCAGAATCCTATTTACCTTTCTAAAAGCGTGTTGACCATTTTTTCAAAGGTTTCATCACATCTCAGAAGTGGACTTGTGACTCCCCATTGGAGGGATTTGCTGTATTCATTCAAGCCAAAGTACAGCTTGTCTTCACTTGCAGCGTCATCCTGTTCCATACAGAGTTAGCAAAAACATAAGAAAAGCTGGAAACAATTTTAATTTCTTTTGTCATTTAAAAAAAAAAAAAGCGAAAAGTATTTTCCAAAGCTAAGTATCCTTTCTTTCATTTCTTCTTCCTCAGTGATGTTATTGGTTTGTTTCAAGGAATACAATAAAATGCAAATTGTTTATTACAACTTACTATCTGTCTACACTTAGGGAAAGACAGGTGTAGGTCCTTTCAAATTTTTCAATATGTCTTCTACCTTTGATTGCAGGAGGGTTTCAGAATCCTGATACTTCTTTTCTGGATCCCTATCTCTGGCTTTATATCTACTGACAACTGTTATCTCATTTCTATTTAAAGCAGAACCTGAAAACAGAAGCATTATTCATTTCCAAAACTCTTCTTGATCATCAGATCCTACACATCTCTAATGATAAACAGAAATTGATCATTTCTTTGCTGGAACATAAATCTGCTGACAGCAATCAGAAAGGCAGAGTATTTACTGCCTGAAATTTCATGAGGTGCCTGCTGGCAGCACAGCATGGTCTCCAGTGCATTTACATCACCAGTGATCACTAGGAAGGTAATTAATCACATACAATCTCATCCTTTTCTGTGAGTTATCTGTTTAATCAGAAGACTGAAGTTGCTTATTTTTTACTTTGGGGGAAAAAAATATGTCTAGACCATTTTACAGAACATCACCACAATGGCTTCTATTAACAATCAACCAAAAAGCAAACTTTGAGTATTCATTCACTCCTTCATTTCCACTATTTTGTTTGACTGTTAACATACTGGGAGTTTATGGAAATGGCTTTTTAATTTTAACTTTAACTTCTTTCCAGCTAACATTTTAAAATATAGAAACCAATGGTCCACTCAGCACATTAAAGTCAAACTTGATATAACTTTTTTTACGAAGAAAAGGAAAAAAGGGTATTTTTTAGCAAGGGTAGGCAAAACATCCTCAGAAACAGCTTGCTGGAATGGTGAGTAGAGGTAATGGTATGGGATGTCAAAGTGACTTCTCGCCTCCTGTCTGGCACTTGCTACACCGTGACTTGTTAACCTAGCACACCATTTTTATTAACATTTGAAAAGTTGTGAATAGACTTGACAGGCTAGATGACGTACCACTTGCAGTCAAAAGTTAGACTGCTTGAAAATGTAAAGCCAGCTCCAGAGGTTTCCAGCATGTCTACATAGCTTTGTCTGACCAGAGCATAAAAAGTCATTACTCATCTTATGTGACTGGATAGAGGAAAACACGAAATTCCTAGGCCTAAATGTCAATGCTACATCTACTGTCATCATCCCAGGACTGTGTAGCTAGAGCCTGACTAAAAAAACTCCAGCAGAGAAAGAAGTCCTTTCTAACACTTCGTTTTAATGTATATATCTGCTAGGTTCTGTTAGGTGAAGAGTCAACATTGAGATTCACAATTACAATTATAAATTAAACACTTACCACAGTATCAAATTGTATCCAATGTACCTCATTGCTAGAGCTGATCCTGGACTGCTGCGTTTGCAAGGCGTAAGGAAAAGAGCTGACCTGAAGAACAAGGAGGTTGAATGCTTCAAGGACCTCCCTGCAATTAATAACTCTATCAGCCAGACCATGACTAGGCTCACCATGTGACAGGGAACTTGAAATGGCACTGCAGAAATAAGAATGCAAAGAATTGCCTTACTGACATCCCGAGATTCAATGGGTTACTCTCCTCCTCCAGAAAAATCTCCAAATGACCATGGCACTGAGAATCACAGCTCAAAAAACTCTTTGAAAGGGTGAAAGATGTCAAAACCATTTGAGTGTTCTCTGTGGGTAGAGTCAGGCAACAGGGGGGGAAAAAAAAACACTAAATAAAGGACCAAAATCTGCTGAAAGTAAGAAGTTTAATTAGTGTGCCAATTTAAAAGATCATCAGACAGAGGAAACCAAAAATAAGCCAAAGCTGATGCCCTTCTTACTGAGGAACACTGTTGCATGAATTGTGGGGTTACAATACAGTAACAGGTTTATAAAATCCACTGGATTCTTCACGCAGATACATTTTTCTAAGAGACTGGGAACCTGCTGTCATGATTTCCAGCTCCTGGAATCACCTTGGCCTCCAGGATAGTTTAGTGTAGTGATAGGACAAGGGGTAATGGTTTTAAACTAAAAAAGGGTAGTGTTAGATTAAACATTAGGAAGAAATTCTTTACTCAAAGGGCGGTGAAGCCCTGGCACAGGCTGCCCAGAGAAGCTGTGGATGCCCCATCCCTGGAGGTGTTCAAGGCCAGATTGGATGGGGCTTTCGGCAACCTGGTCTGGTGGGAGGTGTCCCTGCCCATGGCAGGGGGCTGGAACTGGGGGATCTTTAAGGTCCCTTCCAACCGAAACCATCCTGTGATTCTGCAATAAACAAGAATTCCAAATTCAGTATAACAAAAATTCAATGGGGAGGATAAAATAGGAAGAATGTTGCTTTTATCTATTTTTAGCTATCCTGCAAGGAAAGTATTTTATTATCTCTGCAATCCAAATGAGTCCCACAACCTGCACCATGTCTAAATCACATTAAATTTTTTCTCCTCAGTTTATTCAGAAAACAAGACCAGAACTATTTATTTATTCATTTATTTATTTATTTATTTATTTTTGTCAATAGTAAAGTTGTGATTCAGCGTGAAGAAGTGTTTCTGCACATGTGTATATGCTGTTCTGTGCAGATCTGACACTGACCAACTTCAACAGTTTTTTAAATCCTTTTCTTACAGGAGCTAGGTCATTTTTCAGAAGATAAAAAGTATTAGATGTATATAAGCCTTCTCATAATAAAAGCAATGCTGTCATCAAGGATAAAAGCATGAATTAAAACATGGCTAGTTTGAGAACGTGAGACAGCTTCAGGTTTGCATACAGAAAAAAAACAACAACAGGGAAATAGGAAAAAGACAAAGGAGCAAAGAAAGGTGCAAATTTCAGCCCTTTCTCCTGCACTCCAGTACCATAGCTCTTACCCCTGTGAACAGTTTTATTAGGGATACAACGATCTGAAGCTAGTCTCATCCAACTCCAGCCGAATCAGAATTAGCTAACTAATTAGTTAATTATTTATCAGGCTCAAGTACAGAAGACCATTTCTGATTTTGAGGAACAAGATGCCTTAGGCCTAGAGGAACCTCTAAGTGGTAAGTCTTTTGGAATAGCTAACAGAAAGATACTGGAAGAGGATTGTTTTCCGTCGGTCCATCGAAGCACCTACCTTGTTAAATCTACATGGGCATTGTCATGAACCAGCACAAACAGCGTATATGGATTCTGCTTCACTCGTTTCATGAAAACCTCAAATTTTGTTTGAATCTCGTTGTCTAGCCGAACCACGTACTTCTCAGCTCGCTGATACGCTGTGCCATTGTCTTCTAGGCCCAAGTCCACAAGGACACCTACCAAAAAGGAGAATGCAAAAAAAAATCTTTTCCTCTGAGGACATCCAATAATTAATTGTCATCTGTAGGTATGGTCTGCCAATATCACAACTTAGCCAAATCACTGATATGCCTTGGGAAGAGGATTATCACAATGCATTTTCTCTCACAATGGAGATGGACATCTGCTTCTTCGCTTCTGGCTTTCCTACAAAAAGTGCCTGAAGACCTTCCAAAGACTTCTCACATTACCAAAAAGGAAAAAAAAAATCCACAAAAACTTCCAGAGCAGCACTCAGTTGGCTGTGCTCCACTATACTAGGCCAAACGTCCCATTATTAGGTAATATTTTAACCTTGCCACAGTCAGAAGTAGTTACTCGGGCCTTTCCTTTGCAAAAATCTTAAATTTATGTAAAACTAACTCTAGTATCATTTTTTCATGCTTTGCCTCTGCCTCAATATTAGCATCTAAATGTCAGTAAAACACAACTACTCTCTAGCAGTCTTTGTAGCGACAAACTGCCATCATATTCATAAAATAGGTAAGATGTGTGTAGCACTGAACACCTTCTGAGTTGAAGAAGGAGAAATAAACCACAGTGACACGTTGGTCAACTATCTATTTGCCAGGCTCTTAATCATTTTTACAATTGTGTAAAACGTAAAGTAGAAACCACTCATTTAATCTAATAAAATGAATGTGAAACACTAATATCAGACAGCCTCTGGTGTAATGTGCGGCATTATTAAGACACACACGTGATAAAGTAAATAAAATGTGTGAAGAAACAAGGAATGGAACAAAAAAAAAAACCAAAAAAACAAAAAAAAAACCACAGCAAACAAGGTTGCATTAGGGAGGAAAAGAAAACCATATTTCAAGTAATCTAATTCATTCTTTTCCTTTTACTAGTAAAATAGTACCAAGCTGAGAAAAAATACCTGTAGAGATGGACCATAACATTGAGCTACATCAAGATATCGGCACAATCAGAAACTGTGGGACGTTTTAGTTCAGAGTTGAAAACAAGAGGGAAAAAAGCCAACAGCTACCTAAAGCCACTCATAGCAACATTACACTGGAAGCTCATACCCATAACTTTCAAATGCAAATACAAGGGATTATTAGATACAGATGAAGACAGAAAAGAAGTCCTGGTGAAACGAACAGAAAAATATCCTAAATATATAGCTAAATGACCAAACATGTATACAGACAGTCCACAGTTCCATTAGACAGTTTTTTTTTTTTTTTTCTGAAAAGAAGCTCTTATGTTTTTCTGGACATGTCAATCACTAACAGAGTAGATAAAAAGGGTTGTTCTCAAAGAGGACATATTCCTTCACCTGGACACTAAAGCTTTCTTGCTCTTCTCGATGTATTTGGCACCAACTGTGGTGAGATGCAGAACCCAACAAAAAAAACTCACTATCTAAACCAGTATGGCAATTACTGTCTGCTAGTGTGAGTGTATTACTCATTTACCTACGTAAATGTACCTGCACTTATGCTTGTGCTAATACATGAGAGCAAATCACAAATGTCTACCTAGAACAAAAGGCACTAGCAATCACAGGGGATAAAAGATCTGAACAACTGTATTCACTCATCCTCCCTCTCTCTTGACAGCTGGATACTTCTTCAGGTCAAGTATTCCTCAGATCTGTATGAATATGGCAATTCCTTTTGCCACTTCTGCTGTACAGCTTGGGCCCAGTTTACGAAAGGAAGATGTTTCAAATACATCAATGATACCAACTAATGGAGCCAATACAAGACATGCAAAATACATAGAGGAGCCCTTAAGTCAGAGATGATTTAATGGCAAGCACATACTTGGGTTTGATTTAGCAGTCTCTTTTTCCTCCCCTTCCTTTTACCTGATTGTCGGATCCGTTGCAGGGTCTGCTGCACCAGGACTTCTGAACGGGGAACGATAACGATGAAGTCTACTTTGCTGAAGTGGCCCAGGTCCAGGCTCTGATTGCCACTGTCTGCTATAGCACAAACCTGGGACAAGAGCTTTCTGGCAACCGTAAGCTGTGGCTGGTAAATTTGGAAGGTATCAACATCCAAATCTAGAGTGTGCGTGTTTGAAAAAGAAAACAAAACACAACAAGAAACATGTTTACTTCCCCACCCCCCAACATACACGACCCTCCAAATCACCTACCCTCTACTATGAGAAAAAAAACACAAAAGAATCACTCACCAGAATAAATCCTAACACTCTGGAAAGCTGGGTACAAATCACAAATGTCAACTTCCTCTTTTTAATCAAAGTGTGATTATCTGTCAGATGACCTCAGGGACAGAACTGCCCATTTTTAAGTGCTTTAAGTGTTTCTGAGCATTTTTAGGCATACTTTTAAGCATATTTCAGCAGCTTCCCTCTCCCACTCCTGCCAGGAGAACCAGCTGAGGCTATGGTGCTCAGGGCACCACGGGAGGAGAGCCACCGCACCTCTTACCCTGAGGAAACTGAGCCTGCCTTGATAATCCTGCCCAGAAGATTCTAGCAGGGCAGCAGGAAGCTAGGAGTTCATTTGTACATCATCCTCGGATTTCTTGAGCCCCACTCTAAGCAAGCATTGAGATAGCCATGTGTCTGTCTTATCCTTACATATACTACAAAGGGAAGATAAGCAATACACTTATGAAATAAATCTCAATTATTTTTTGGGAGGAGAGCATTTATTTGTTTGGGGGTTTCTTGATTTTTAACAAAATCTGAGTGTCAGATTTAACTGAGCTTAATAAGTGTCAATATACTACTTGCAGAGAACTGGGGGACTGGACTTTTTATAGGCACGTAGCAGAACATTCCTGCAAGAAAAAGCATGTTCCTGTTTTCAGTATTTCCAGTAGGCAATTTCTATGCCTGACAATCCATGTTTAACTAGCCCCTGAACGTTTTCAGTTTGCAGGTTACCAACAGTAAAATAGGATTTACCATAATCCCGTTACAGTTTTTCTTTCCATCAGTTTTTCTAATGGGTTAAATCCTGATGAACAGTGTTTATCATAAATAAAATAAAATAAAATAAAATAAAATAAAATAAAATAAAATAAAATAAAATAAAATAATAAAAATCCAGACCTAATACAAATTTAACACACAAGAACAACAGTTGTTTTTTCAAGTAACAAACCACTTTAAAAAGTGTTATAATTTACATGAAAATTAGAGGTTATTTGGGGGTGGTTGGACTAGATGATCCTGGAGGTCTTCTCCAACCTTAATGATTCTACATTAGTTTTACAAAGACGTACATGTGTTCATGGGTGCACTTTTCTCCTGTTCAGACCTGCTTCATTGTTCATTCCTGTGGACCTACTTTGGGAGAAAGGTCCCACTCGCTGTCCAGAAGGCTTACCTCCCCCTTTTTTTTTTTTTAATTCAGGCAGATTCCCTGTAGCTTAAGTCATTGTATAGCCATATTTTAAAGACAAAACTAGCCCAAAATAATAGTTTTGAAAAAAACATGAAGGATTAAAAAATCACCACTGCACATCATTACACAGTAAGAACAAAAATAAAATAATAATTTTTAAAAAAATCAAAAGATGGTTCTAATTTCAAATTAATCCTGTGTGGAAGCTCAAGGCTTGTCCTTCTGGCAACCACCCTAATTGGATCTTCTGATCCATTTGCAGACTATAAACCATCTTGTTTTTGTTCAGATTTAACCCTGAGATGATTAATTTGAACTAACTAATGTGAGTCAGAAGCATACCTTTCTTTCACAGGGAAAACAAAGCTTTATTGGAGGTTGAATTTGCTTTAATACTAGACCTAAAAGAATCTCAGTGTTCACAGCAGCTCAATGTATCTTCTTTTACCATTACTGTCATACGAAAAGGAAAGCGTGGTTAAAACTCCGAATAATGAAACAATTCCAAAATGGGAAAAATTATAATTAGCATTTTTAGGTAGACACTCCTAGCTCATCCACTGCACCTAAGTATCTCATCACATTATGCTGAATAACAAGAATATCAAGTAAGAAAATTACAGATTATGCTTGCCTAGCACACTCACTCCGAGATCCTAAAACACTCTCCTCAAAACCTGGGAAGAAGTAAGCCCCAGGGCACAACTGCATAGTACATATTATTACAACTCTATGTGTGGAAAGTGAGGAATATCAAAAGTTAAAACTCAGGAGGGCACCTGGGGAGAACAGCAAGGAGAACACAGTTCTCTTTGCCATGAACATAAAATTACATACCTTTTCTAGTTGTACAAGGGTGAGATGAGGCCAAACTGACATCTTCTCTACTCTGCTTTGTGCAGAACAGAAGATCACGTATTTTAACTTTGGAATTATAAAAGTTAGGGGGAATAAAAGTTGCTGAAGCTGCTACTGAGGTTTTCCATCCAGGAGACTGATGTATTTCTACATTCAGACGGCAATATTAATATTTGAAGGTTGGCACACTGACTAAAGACTCTTCAGACTCTTCTGAGGAACATGCATTTTGACATTTAACAAACTGGTCACTTACTTCACATCTTGCATGTTAAAAAAAATTACCTGGTTCTTGTGTAGAAACCATGGCAATTGCCTCCTGTGATGATACACACTCACTAACATCTCCATTAAAAGGAATAATGACGCTTTCCCCTCGCTGCTGTAGCATCTTCTCTAACAGCTTGTCCAAATCATCACCTAGTTAAGAATTAACAAGACCAAATTATCTGGGAGCACTTTAAGATAAATGATGGATAACATGACATACAGATGTTCTCACATGGCTGATGGCAAATCTGTGAAGGGGCAGCGGACTGGAAATAAAGAGAAGAGAGGGCTGGGAAATTTGCCAATTGAATAAACACAAAAAAAGGAAGGGAAGGGAAGGGAAGGGAAGGGAAGGGAAGGGAAGGGAAGGGAAGGGAAGGGAAGGGAAGGGAAGGGAAGGGAAGGGAAGGGAAGGGAAGGGAAGGGAAGGGAAGGGAAGGGAAGGGAAGGGAAGGGAAGGGAAGGGAAGGGAAGGGAAGGGAAGGGAAGGGAAGGGAAGGGAAGGGAAGGGAAGGGAAGGGAAGGGAAGGGAAGGGAAGGGAAGGGAAGGGAAGGGAAGGGAAGGGAAGGGAAGGGAAGGGAAGGGAAGGGAAGGGAAGGGAAGGGAAGGGAAGGGAAGGGAAGGGAAGGGAAGGGAAAATTTCAGTCCTGTGCCTTTACAGCTAATGGTGAAATGGTGACATCTCATGATGTCAGATGTTACAAAGAAACACACTAGAAACAGCTTCTAACACCTGTGCTAAAAGTGCAAAGATGCTTCACAGTGGAGAAGGGAAAACTGTACTCATGGGTGATTTAACTGCTGAACAGAAGGCAACACCGACCCCCCCCCCCCCCCCCCCCCAAAAAAAAAAAACAAAAAAAAACAAAAAAAAACCACAATCCCTGTCTTTGCTGGAACTTCTGTTTCTTAGGATCACTTACCTAAAGATGTGTTTTTGAAATGTGATGCCAGGAAACTAACTTTCCCTGTGATGAGCTCATAACTGATCTCTTTCAAAAATTCACTGGTGGTAAGCATGCTTTCTGCAAGTGCTCTAGATTGATATTGACCTGGAGAGGAGGGGAAAAAAAGCAAGATCAATCCTTAACACAGCGCACTGTGAACGCAACGTTTTCATCCTAGAGGTGAGGGGCATGCCGATGTTCAGTTATGGATCTCCACTGCCTTTACCCAACACCCTGGGAAAGAATCTCACATCTATTTTGCTAGAGACAGGAGAAATCTGTCTAGCACATTGTTTGCCAGCCATTGTCCATAGGTTTGCACACTTGAGTGACAAATGATATGCAAAATAAATGTCTGTACCTTAGATGGAGTGGAGGATTTTGGTTGAATATGAAAAAGTAATAATCCCAAGTATAGAAGAAGAAAGAACATTACTAATTTATATGAAGAATCTGAAAATCAACATGGTAAAGAGGATAAAAAGCATATTCTGTTTTACAGTGAGCTGCAGAAGACTATCCAGTACCCATCATGTAAGACGGCACAACTGTTACATGAAACAGAGGGCAGACAGATTCATTTGCCACGGGGTCACTCCAAGATATTTTCTACGAAGCCAAGCCAAGGTATTTTCTAAGAAGGTATTTTCTAAGAAGCCATTCTCTCAATTCTCTCAAGAAGCCATAAAGACTACCGTACAGTTGTTTTTTTTTTAGGTCCTCATGGACATCAGTACTCCAAGTCTTGAGGAATAGTGAACATTGCAGAGCAAAAATATGAAGGAGAGTAAAAATTTAAAAAAGGATGTAAAAGCTGGAAATTTCAAAGCTGGAACAACGTCTTGAGAAAATGCATTCTGCAAATTTCCATTAGCACTCACAGTGTACTGCAAATGCACTTACCCAGGACTACTACGCAGAATTCATTTCCTCGTATCTTTGATGCGCAAATGGCAACTACGTAATCCGGGAGCTTCTGATGATGTTTCATTTCATTGAGAGACCTCAAGGTCTCCGAGATGCCCTCTGCCAGCGAGTTCTGGGTAACGACCACGTGCACGAGGTCCCGGGACACACTAGCAATTAACCTAGCAAGCCAAGGGAGTTGACCTGGCGACACAGAGATGCACTGTGCACTTATCTGCAAGGATCGCTCTCTCAGAGTGAACTCCTGCATGGCTTTCAACATGATCTGCTCAAATTCTTCCCTCAGGGGTATCTGGTCAGGACCTACGTGAAAAACAAAGAGGAGAACAGTATCTCATATCAAAATGTTATTGAACCAGGATTAATCTCTTGTCTGTCTTGATGTGACAAGCTCCTTCACTGTATTTTTTACATGTAAAAACCCACTCCCTGCTCCGTGGATATCTACCCACACAGCATATTCTTCCTTTATCATATTAGAAGCCTCCCTCTCTCTCTGTACCATGCTTTCTCTCTCACCATCCTCCTATTTTCTTTTTGACAATAAGGTATTCCATTTTATTCCTAGCTTTTCTACCCTCAGAAACTGGTGGGATGAACAATAAAGTTGAGGAAATATGTGCCTTTTGCCTGGAACAGAAGGATTAATCCCATAACCTCCATACGTCTTTACAGCAGAAAACACAAACGCTCACCCCTGCAGTCTGATCACAGCCATCCAATATGAACAGAGCCTGTCAACTGGTCTTCATTTTGCTTTTCCTCATCCTGCATACACATAAACTAAGCGCAGATACAAGCAAACAGGTTTAACCTCTTCTCTTACGGTTTAATTTAGCAAATTTTCAAACTCCTAATTTTAAGAAGCATAGGTACGCACAACTTTAAATCTGCAGTCCTCAGAGTTTGTAAACTGTGTTGTGAACCTCAACTGGAAAATCAAAATAGAAGCTATCCTATCTTCCTATCCTATCCTATCCTATCAGTCCCCCAGCTCAGCTTTAAATAAGATTTTGTTCAGTAAGATTTATCTCATGGTCAAAGACTCAGGAACCTATGAAGAATATTCATGAATGCAGAGCAAAAAGTAACCATAGTTTAAATTGCCAAGATCCCATGGCAGTGCCAAAGCAGAGAGCTTCACACTTCAGCAGTTTGCTTTTCTATGACAAAAAAAGGGAGTTAAATACCAGTGATATGTGAAATGCTGTTGTTTTTTTTGTTTGTTTGTTTGCATGTTTTCTTTCAGGGCCAAAGAAAAGAAACAAAGTGAGCAGTGAAAAAAGGAAGCAGAAAAATTGTGTAAGAAGCAGGGCAGGGAATGGGTAAATAAACCAAGTATGCAATATGCAAAATCGCTGAGGGTTGTCATTTTGCCTTTTTTGAGAAGTAAATATAGAGAGAGTCGTCACCCAATTACTGCCATAGGATGGCAGGACAGCTATAGGTTTCTAAAGACAAGGCTGTTCACATTTTTGCTGCGAAGTTCTGATTATTTAATGCATGGACACTATGGCCTACAAGGCATTGGTGAGAGTTATGGGTATAGCTCTGTATTTCTAATTATCTTTTTGGGAAATATATTTTCTCTTCCTTTCTAAGGTGACGATTTATAAGAGAAAAACTTTTCAAAATAAAGTTAGTTATCAGAAGGGCACTGATAAGGGAATATGCTGAAATTGGCACTGTGCTTAATACCACAGTTGACTCGTGGCAGTCTTTCCCCACAGCAATTATCCAGAAAAACAAAGGAAGTGAGATGATCTGAGATGAAAGACAAAATGAGCAATATTTGATAATAAAATACATAAATACAGAACAGGTATCTGTCAAAGTTAAAAGAGAGGATCTGATAGCTTCTCTGCAGAAATGAGTACACAAAGGGATCATCTTCGCTTCAGAAAATGAAACTACCAAGGAATAATACCATATAAAATCACGTATGGCAAATACGGGAGCTTGAGGTACAAAAATAAAGCTTGAGAATACTTCATTATGAATGCTGTCAAAGTTAACAAACGCGAAATCCAAGTAAGCAAAGGCACTAGGCTGTAAAAAGCACTGAAATCAAATATTCCTTGATAGTTTTTTAGTTATTCCTTTATCAGTCAAGGGAATTTACAGCAACACTATGGCTCACAGTCACAGCTTGAGCTGGGAATAGTCTTCATAGTATTTTTAAAGTGGAAGTATCAAAGACATACTTTGTTTGCTTTGATTTGTAACATCACTGTGAGATTGCTCAGAAAATGTAAACGCATACAAAAATATTTTGCACAAGTAGTGAGATCTGAAAAAAATAGGCAAGGTTCAGGCTGTGTCATTCTTCTGTCTGCTTTTTTGATCTTTGCCCTTATCTTATGCTTTTGTAATATATTCTGGAAGTAATAATAGCTTTTAGCCCTACTTACTCAAGAAAGAGGCTCACATGAATAAACTGCTAATTTATGTGGGTAATTTGTCTTTTCTCCTCGTCAAAAAGCTTTGGAACATGACTGCCCTCCATCTTTAACCTGTTTTGATTATACAATATGGGATAAAGGCTACAACTGTCAGGATTCAAACAGTTTGAAGTCTGGAGCAAGATGAAAACCTGTGCCATGCTTTGATCCCCGTGTTCTTCAAAACGTATTTACTTTGCCCCCTCATTTCATCTCGCACTCCGCATATGTCCAAGAGGAAAACTGCTCAGCTTTCAACAGCTAGTACCCAAAGCCAAACTCAACACCTGCTATGATATGGGAACTTCTTTATGCTGAAGGCACAGTGCTTCCTAGACACAGCTCAGCTAAGCTCCAGAAGCTTTGAACAAGGCCTGCTCTAGCTTGCAGCGAAGACAGACTGAACATCCCCTTAAGGCTGGATTTGCTTATGGAATGTGCTTCACTGGCTCCATGAGATTCAATAAATCATCTATTTTTAATTGGAAATGCTGTACCAGCTTGCTGCACGATTCCCTGAAGGAAATTTGCAAGCTGCCTCTATCAATCCAGAACTGTGTGAGGCAGCTTGTTTTAAAATGCAACCTCTACAAACTTTCCACACCGAGGATGAAAAACTCAAAATAACAAATTTAAGCCCACTGAGAGAACAGCAAGAGAAAAACATTCAGCCAATAAATAAAAGAAACACTTTGTCTGTTCCAACCTGGCATACAATGGACTATTAAGGGCATTTCCCAGCAGAGGATGATAAATAAAGCAAACAGGTCACGGAGGGCATTACAACACAGAAGATAGCCTCCTTCCTGTCTATAACACTTCTGCATCAGCAGAGAACAGCAAAGCAGAAGAACACAGGGGCTAAACCTAGGCAGAGTGCATTTACTCCCCAAATTATAGTGTTATCACCAGCTGTACTTCTTTTGAAATGTCTGTTCGTTTCATACCATTATGTATTACAGATGCCCGAACAGAAATCCAATTGAGGAAAAGCAGCGTGATCCTCACAAAAGTTACTTCACACTCCTGTATAATAAACAATATTTTTTTCAAATACTGAAGTTAAGAAATAGATTGCTGTGAGAAGCTTCCTAAAGCTATCCTGCAATATTCTTTGACTTCTAAATCCTTACTGTTAACATTGTTGTATTTTACCCTAAGGTAGGGAAAAATGGACCTGTAATGAGAGAAAGAAAACAATGTGCTTTGCTCTCAAACTTGCAAAGGGTCCGTTTCAAATACATTTGCAAGAATGAGATATTCATTGAATAACTTGCCTAAGTCTGAAAAACAAATGCGGTTTTCATGTAAACGGTGCTGTCACCAAAACAATGATGACCATCACACATCTGCTGGCATTTGTCACGAAACTGAATAAAACAGACTGAGAGTCCTTAGAAAGAGCTGTGATAACTGATGGTTTGATACCCTAAGCAAATGAGTTATCTGCATTGCAAATGAGGAGCCATTTTCACAGAGGTGACCTGGTCAATCCCCATATGGAGAGCAGAAGCAGTATCAGTTCTTAAATTCGCTTCTTGTCAGATGTTCAAAGGAGCAAAGTCACACACACTAGATGGAGCCACTTACCTCTCCCAGGCACAAAAAAAAAAAAAAAAGCCAGAAAATTGGCTCAGAAACAGAAATAAAAAGGGTGGGGAGAAAAAGGACAGTAAGAAATAAAAACTGAAGTGCTTAGGACAAGCTGCTTACCTAGTTGGACAAGATACTGAATAGTTAAAAGTATCATGTTCTCCACACTTAGCAGCTGACTGCTGGTCAAACCCAGGAGATCCAGATCCTTGTTTTCCAGCTGTGGAATCTTGTAGCAATTCACCAGTAAGGGACTCACAACAATATCACCGACATTTCCATAGAAATAAGGTAAAGTGCCATAACCTTTCATAAAAACAAACAAACAAACAAAACCCACAGAAATTGACAAGATAATCCATTTCATGAAGTCTTGCACAACACAAACGTTTCCAAACTTCTCCTAAACGTTACCTTAAAAAACATCCTGCATCACTGGCCACTCCTGACATTATAATTTCATATAAAGTAAGTGAAATAGGCCACTGCTCCTTTGCTGTTTTTTTAAAAACAAGTGATCACAAAGATGTGCAAAAGCTATGGATAACTGCATACCATCGGGATAATAATTATTTTTATCCAAATACAGATGAGAATAATATCTGTTTGGGTCTTAACCTGACCTTTGAATACATATTCTCCATAATAGAGTGTACAAAACCCAAAAATCAATGGAAGGAAAAGAACATTGATCTTAACATTATGAAAACAGCATCAGTAACATTAGAATTGATTCAGCTACCTCAGTATCGCCATGATTAATTGCATTTTTTTCCATGTTTATTTTCTGTTTTCATACACAGGTTAAATAAACATCAACAACTAAACATGCTGTTCTGTAAGGCAAAGCGTATGAAAACAGGCTAACTCTTCTTTTCCTTGAGAATGTTTTCCTTTAAAAAGAAAAATTTCCACGCAGATTTTGCCAAACCCATCCATTTGGGTACATCTGGTTCTGTACTATTAATAGGACACTGCTTCTCAGGGACACTAACATTTAGCCTAGCTGAGGACTTCATTGGCAACTCTCCAAGAGCCTAAGGGCTGCATTCAATTTGCACTTAAGCTGATAACTGCAGACACCCTCATCTTTAATAACGAAGCGTCTCTCTGAAAACATTAAAGCACCATGCTAGAACTTCATAATACGCTTCCAGAAAAAAAAAAGACTAAGCTAAACAAACCAAACGAAGTGTAACCCTAGCCTCGAGGGTTTTACTAGCATAGATGGCCCTCTTAGTTCTTTTGAAATTGCTTGTATTAGGATTATCTCTGTAAGTGAGGACTCTGAGAACTTCTCTGTGTCTTCATGAATGATGAATTATTCCATGGACTGTATTGACAGGCATTTTCTCTTAACACTAAAGCTACTTTATACAAGCAGCTGTATCATGCTGGACTGAAAAGGGATTTAAAGAGTTAAAGAAATCACTCCTCAACATTTTGGCAGTACCGGCCAAACCATCTTTGTTACGTATTATGCCCTTATTGCTCAGCTTGAAAAGGATATTCACATTACAAATCATACTTTTGAAGTAAAAGCCAATGTCTTTCTAAGGGTTAACAATGTGCTTCATAGAGCTAAAGAATTTTAAAAGCCTGATCTGTTATCTCAGTCACTTACAATAATGATGGACTATAAAAGACAAAAAGTTAGTACAATTCACTTCTGATTAGCCAGGATGTATCAGTTTTCTGGTTCTCATGCAGAATCCCTGGGTTTCAAGATCTGGATAATGCATGCTACAGGAAATATTTTCTTGTTTTGTAAGTTGTTTACACTGGGAAGTTATTTTCATTACATGGAAATATTTCTATTCTTGGATTTTACAAAAATATTATCTGTACAAAATTTCAGTTTGGCCAGAAGTTTTGCATCAATTTGACCTTGTCATGACCCGTTTGCAAATCAGGTCCTCTCAGAAATCTCCAAACTTCCGATTTTAAGTGTTGAGCAACTAAGTAAACTATCCATGACAAACCGATTACATACTGTACCGAATGTCAGAACCAACAAAAAGAAACCAAAAAAAAAAACCACCAAAAACCTTTCTCTTAGGGGAGCATGCATTTGTTCAAAACGCAGGATTTGACTCCCCAGTGTCAGACTTACCTATCAGAATCACTGGTCTGACTCCCGAGTTATTCAGCAGGTTTTCAGGAACTATTACAGTCTCCCCTGCCAGGATGGGTTGAGGCTGTAAAATTCCAGTTAACATGGATTGAGGAACTGGGACTGACAAAAGAGGCTCTATAAAATAAAGAAAAGAGAAGCTTCCATTACTAAAAAGGCTCATACTGTGATTTGGCCGTATGAACAAATAAAAAATAAATAAATAACCCCAGATCACAAACTGTAATAAAATTCAAGAGGCCTCTGCATTTCCTGCTATAGTTTTAAGGAATTTAAATTAAGAGCCTATACCCTCCTGTAGACCCACCCCTAAAATAAAACTGTTTCTGGCCACTGTATTGTTGGTGGGAATGAGGGAGGAAAACACAAGGTTGAATATGCATCTTCAAACAAAGCCAAGCACTAAGCCAAGAGGCCACCTCTAAGACAGCGGCTACCTCTCAATAATACCTGTCAAGGAAAGGGAAGTGACTGCTCTGACTTCTGGCCTAGAACATGCGTAGCTAGGAAAGAAAATACAAGCCAAAATCTCAGAGATGTCCTTAGACAGCTGCTGGAAGGGTAATTAATAAATAAATAAATTAAAGGCTTTAGGCATGAAAGTGCAAAAGCAGCTTTCACAAGTAAAAAGAAACAAAATGCAAAAATGTGTCATCTGTTATCAGGTTTCGGTGTGAGACCTCCTTCAGAAGTTTCTCAGACTTCATTTGGTTGTTTGTAACAGATTTTTCAAACAATGCTATCTACAGAAGACATCAGAGGCAGCATGAATAAATGTATGCATGCATACATTTTAGCTGTGGAAATAGCTGTGATTGATTGGAGTTACTCAAGCAGGCAGGCCTACACTAACTACCACGTAACCCTTCTTCCCGTGATAAATATCTCTGCAAGTCAGTTCCAAAACATCCCAAACGCAAATGCTCCAAAGCAGAGTTAAGAACATATTGTGCATGATGAAAAACATGGTTTTTTGTTTTGTTTGTTTTTATCCTTGGGTGTTTATTCTCCTATTCTATAGAGAGATCAGTAAGCAATTGTAGGTTCCCCTTTGCCAACTATTCTGAATCTCACAACTGCAAAGCCCATAAGTAGGGAACAGTTTTATTAGTAGTTACGCATAAAGAGGTACCTACATGCAAGTTGATGGCTATTCACACATATTTATATTTAATCCTATTTCACATCGTGCTATCACACATCCCTTCTAGATATGTCTATCCCTTTTCCACACATATGAGCTATTTGGTCTCACAAACTTTATCCTTCTAAGCAAAGATGACCTAGGGAACATCAGTGTCCTTTCTTAAGCCAGAATTACACAAAGGCATTTTTCCTACACCAGAACTGAGCGTGCTGTTTCTGTAGCATGCCACACCAGATAAGAGATGATATATTCAAGTAGAAGGCTAATGGAAATCCTTTAAATGTTCAAGTAGAAGAATAATGGAAACCCATTAAATATGTTCATATATACACACACCTGCACAATTTCAGAAGAACTGAGCTATCTTTGGGGAACTTAGGTTTAGATCCTTACATGTATAATTTTCATCCTCCTTTTTCTCTCTCCCCTAGGAGTTTCACCTTCCCATTGTACCAGCTGAGATTACAGAAACAAGAACAATTGTGTGCTTTTCTGGGTCATGTGAAAAACTCTCCATGGTGCCCTTAACTACTTCAGCAAGCTCTGTTATGTTTTCTGTGCAACCCTTAAGAGAAGGAGCACAGGGCTACTGGTCTGGCTGAGAATAGTTTGTTTTTTTTAATTTTTATTTTTTTTTTTACAAATATCTGTATCATTCAAGTTTTACCTGTTCTAGTTGAGGGCCGAATTGCAGGAACAGGTACCGCTAAGCCAGGAGGAGGGACTGGGGAACCAGGAGACCATCCCCGGTGACGTTTCTTTGGTGGTCCAGAACTGGACATTGATGCTGTGAAAAAAAAAAAAAAAGCAAAAATAATCCTAAGTGCTGTTCTTCCAGACTCCAGCCCACATTTCCATTTCACCGTGGTGTTGAGCTGGTTTCACACTACAGAGTTCCAGAGGTTTACACCCAGCCTTACACGAAAGGCAGACTACGATGTGAGAAATGCTTCTACCTGTGTCAAAAACTACAGCGTTGTCATTAGGAGTCATGCCAGACACCAAAAGGATCTGTAAAGACTGAATTGCAGAAACAGCTATGATGGGAAGAAAAACAAAATCACGAATTTCAGGTTCAACAGCCAGTGCAGCTTAAAAGGGACACAGAGCAGAGGTTTTCTTTACCTTGGTCTCCAGCTGCACAGCCAGGGATAGGAGAGGTCAAGTGAGGCATTGGCCGAGCGACTGCAGAACTCAATACATTATTTCTTCCTCCATTAGCGTTTCCATTAGCAACATCAGTGGCACGCAGTGAAAGAGGAGCTGAGTATAATAAAATACAGAGTGTGTGGCTTGAGACAATCTTGAAAACAAACAAACAAAATAATACAGCAGCATGCACACACAAAAGAACAGGGCAAGATGCACGACTGAAAGAAACCCACTCCAGGGAAAGCATGAAGAGTACTTGGCAGAGAATAATTTGGACACACGCTGCAAAATCCTAACCTTGAAACAAGTTCTCCACATTCGAAGGCAGAGAGAATAGGATGAAGAAAAAATCCCCAATCCAACAGAATAAAAAAAAATAAATACATACAGAGAAAAATCACTGGGATGCTTACGATACATTTTTAGACACGGAAAATTTTAAAAAGTGCTCATCATGAATTCATTTTATAAAGATTTCTAAGCCTCTCTGGTGCATCTTTGTATTTTCTCCCAGTTGTCCGTGTGCCATACACACTGAGTCACTCCAGGGCTCTCATCTGGAGCCTTAGAAATGGAGACTGGGCAGGCAAAAGAGGACAGGCTGCTGTGAAGTGCACACGCTCTGAGTGTTACTGAGGCAAACCATGCTTCATTCTGCTACTTCTGCCTAAGACAATCCTCCAGCCCCAGCAGGCCTGACACCCTGGCAGGCCCCACTATATCCAGGTCACGAAATGAAACTAAGAAAACAGAGGATCACAAGAAGTTATCTTCACACTTCTGAGCCCCTTCTTATTCTTTTTCAGAGTTTCATAATTTTTTTTTTCAACAAATGGCATAAACTGCCTAGAGTGGACGTGGATCCCAGTAGGGACTATGGCTCCTTTCCATATCTGCCAGCTCCACTGTGAGTTAGCTCCCAAGAAGATTTCCAGGGGCAACAGCAGGAGATGGCACAGCAGCTTGCTGATGTTGGCTGCAGCAGAGAGCCTGAGATACTGGTACTGTGCTTAGTACACTCTAACATGGAAGTTGAAATGGTGGGAAGTAATTTCTGTGCATGATAAATTCTCCTACTCAAATACAGCAGGGAGAAGCACTACTTTCATTTACCTGAAAGCCTCATTTTCTGCTATTTTACACAAAACTATGTTGATGATTTATTTGATACAGGTACATTCATTAGGTCCAACAAAGTAATATGCATATATAGCAATGTATATTGTAGAAAACAGCAAATAGAGAATCACAGAATCATTAAGGTTAGAAGAGACCTCCAAGATCACCTGGTCCAACCACCCCCCTACCACCAATGTCCCCACTAAACCACGTCCCCAAGCACCACGCCCAACCTCTCCTTGAACACCCCCAGGGACAGCAACTCCACCACCTCCCTAGGCAACCCGTCCCAATGCCTGAAATGTCTCCTCATTTCCAACCTACCCAATGTCATATGGCATTTCCTCCTAGAGGGGGCTTTTAATTTATTAAACACACAACACAGAAATGATTAATTACAACAGCACAGATATTAAACCTCCTTAAAGCGAGACTGTATTCCACAAAACGCATCTGAATCAACTATATTCAGTGCAAAAGAACAACAACTCCCAGTTAATGGCGCAAGAATTAGTGGAATATCAAGAGGTGGTGTTTTGTCCCTCCTAGGTATCTTAGGAAGTGCAGGAGGTATATGACATGCACTTTTATCAGAATGTCAAATCTGAAAGCCGTGGTATGGCTCTGCTTGGGGATAGTAATAGACATGGTCCTTCTGTGCAGAGGACCTGTAGAATATGATGGTTTTAAAGAATCCTAGTGAATGCTTTCCTTTCCCCTTTCCACCAAAAAGATGATTCCTCTATTTCTTTGCTGCTAAGCAGACAATTCCCTTGGCTCTCAGTTATCCTGGAAAGCAAAGTGCTACCTGCAGCAAACGTCTTTCCTACAAGCTGTACTGACAAAGCCAAAGGTTTCACAATGTTCTTGTTCCGAGACGGGTCTTGAGTTCCACTTAAATTAATAGCAGAAGACGATTTTGCTGGACTGAACACTGAAGAATCTGAAAAATATATATACATATTCAACTAAGCAGTAATTAAAAACTGTATACATAAGTATATATGTATTATATATACATAAATACGCATACAGATTTATCTACACATATCTGCATACAAAGCAATCAAACTATTTTACGCTTAAGAGGTCATTTAAGGATATCTTGTAGGAGTTGTAACCAACATTTACTGGGCACTTCTGAAGAATCTAGTAATGCACTAAACCCATGAGAGATCTCTTTCGCAATATTTTGCATTCATAGAACAGTTGAAAAATATTGTAACTGTAGAAAGAGTTATCTCATTGCTCCTAAAAACACCCCTGTGGGATAGGCAAGTAAACGTGGTTATCCTGTGTTACAGATGAGAAAGCTAAGGCAAAGAGCTTATGTGACTTGCCCCCAGCAAGCACAGGGAATCAGCACGTGGAATAAATTGCCTACAAGGCTGTGGTATCTCCATCACATGAGATTTTCAGGAACAAGTTATTGAACCTCTGTCAGTCTCAGACAAGCGTGACTTAGGGCAGGAGAAAAAAAAAAATCAAATATATAAGCTCTGAAGATCACCTTACAGCACTACTACTACAAGGCTAGGAAAAGTGTATGCCCATTTATGAGCCCGGGTAAGGGATGAAAGGTAGCTGAGCCCAAACTCTTTGCATGAATTAACAAACAGCAACGCCTTCGAGCATTTTACCAAGGCATTAACAAATAAATAAATAATAATTACAGATGGATAAACTGAACAGCAATAAAAAAATAATGTTTGCCCAGTATAAAAATGTAAATTGTAAAAGATTCAGAATCTCTCAGCATGTAGACCCCTGCTTAAGCATGAAGGTATTTAATATCTGCCATTTACTTCAAAGAAAAACTCAGCATTGGGATGCTGATACACCGACAAACCCAAACTTACGACCAAGGTGAAAGAACATTACCCCAACATCTGTGCAGAAAGGAGTCTGCAAGAAGTAGGCAACGTAGGCTAAGTTCACCTACAGATGTCCAAGTAAAACAGCCAGGGAAAGAAAACAGAAGGCGAAAACCAACTTGATCTGGCAAATACATTCACCCCCAGGTGACACACCATTTGGTGAAGGATGGGGAGGGCGTCTGCTTTGCCATATGGGATGGGGAACACACACAGAAGCCTCGGCTGAAAACCTCGTCCATGTTCACAGGACAAATGCTGAACGGCTAACACACAGACCACCAGCTCTGAGGCTTTGGAGGAAAGCACTAGTCTCTCGTTAAATACAATGCAGCAAACATGTAATGAGAAAGCTTTCCTCAAAGCAAATTATCCAGAAGCTTCGGGTCAGGTTTATTTGTCTCACTGTTTTTCTCCCCTTCTCTCTCATTCTGATGTTTTCTTGGAATTGTATCTATGAAATGAGATACGGCTGGTATATGTTTAAACATCACACCAATACCTCAGCAGGACTCTTACTAAAATTGTTTAACTTTCTATCGAAAAACCCTGTTTCTAGTTGCTTTTAAACATCCAAACTGAAGTTTTCTCTCCCGCATTTCCACCTAAACCTGGATTTCTGATACTGTTGCCCTGCCAATAAAACCACATCTCTTTGTAAAAGGAGCTGTGCCTTCCCGTGCCGTTTTGAAAGAGGGGCGCAGCGCTTGACTACAGTGCCATGGCCACGCTGTGCTGTCAGCTTTAACCAGGATGTGCTGCAATTTCCATCATGAAATCAGCAGCTCCGTGCGGGGCTCGGTGTTACTACCTGCCTACAGGTGTTGTCCTAGAATGTGGAGACTTAACTGCTCACTTACAAAGGCAGAAAACAGAAATGGTTAAAGGGAAAAGTATGTGTGAGTTGACAAAAAAAAAAAAGAAAACGATTTTGGAAAGTGACTTAACTAATAAGTACTTTGATTTTAAAACAAGAGACCGTTCACCTCAGAGTACCTATGAGTAGCTATGCAAGCCCAGGAGAGAAAAAGCTGCACCACCATGGGTGATACACGTCAGAATTCAGGCCACAGGAAAAAAAAAGAAAAGGTGCCCTCCCCCTCCTCTGGTCACAGGGAATTCGTATGTATGAATGTGGCATTATCTTCACTAGAAGATAACCATAGGAGGAGATGAAAAGCTTTTGACAACTGTGACCTAAGAGCACAAACAGTGACACACAGAAGAGGCAGGCAGACCGAGCACTGCAGCAAGTGATAAGGAGAGAGTGGCATGTAAAAGGTGTATCTATTAACTCGGCAGGTACAATAGAAGACAAAGCTGTGCAAATATTGTTATTTCAAATAAATAGCTTCTCATGCATCTGCGCAGGTCTCATGCCGGGATCGGGAAGCCAGCGGATCATGCAGTGAAATGCAGATGTGTGCGGGTGACACTCTCCTTGCGTTTTAACAAAAGCCTCAAGCATACGGCTTCCTGACAGACCCCGGGCTGACCAGCTGGGGAAAGGGCCTCTGAACACACCGCTCAGCGATTGCAATTCCAATTTAGGAATGCATACGTTCAGGTGCTGTTTGCGACGGTTTTATAACTTTTTTATTTATTTTTATTTGTTTTAATTTTGCATGTTTTATCAAGCTGGTTGTCTTCATCTGCATTTCATACTCCTCGGGAGAAACGTATGCCGTGGTACACACGTATCAACCAGTTACAGCAACCAAAGTTTTATTTTTCTAGTTTTGATTTCTCAAGAAACAGCACAGACACAAAAACATAAACCAGCATAGGTAAAGCTGCAATGAAACAATGAGAACAAAAGCTTAAAGAAAGCACCTCAGCTATTTGCAATAAATAAATTAAGGATGCTGCTTCTTTGTCAGCCAACATCTGTTTGATTTTTATTGTTTCTCCTAGGTTAAGTCATTAATAGCTTCTCAGAACTAGGAAGCACGTATGAGATGCGTGCTAGTTCATGTAACTTGAAACAACTGGATGTGCAGGGGAACATCGCTTTACTAAGCACACCCACGTGTGAAATACAATTGAAAACAAACAAATAAGCAAATGCATAAATAAAAGCTGTCCCCCTCAGCCCAAAAGGAGATCTGTTTCCATTTCGAGGCAAATACCCTGGTCTATGTACTAACATCCCACTATAAATGTGTAATTAAGTCTTTTTAGATTCACAAAATATAAATAAAATAAAAGGAAACAAGGAATCAAACAAATTAATCACAAGATCATTTAATGCTTTTTTAATTGAGTGTTCTGATGAGAGCTAAGCTCATCTTCCACCTCACCTGGGTCTTAAACCTCTCACAAAGCCAATTCTGGAAGGTATCCTCCCAGCTGCAATCCGCACATGGCTCGCAGTATAACCACCCACTTCTTTATAGCATCATCCCTCAACCAGCAATATCTGCGGTAACTTACCACCCCCAACGGTTATCGTTACAGCACTTTCAGCTCCTACCTGTCTGAGTGAACCCTGATTTGTATCCATTAGCTGATCCGCCCTCTGGGGTCGTGGACGGTGACACCGCAGAATTTGGCTTAGCAGGGAGGCTAGCAGCAGCTGATTGCCTGCTTCTACACTCTGCAAACGAAGCAGCTACAGTACATATTAACAAGGCCTGCCTTCCCCGGTCGGAAAGCTCAGCAACACAGGGGCGGAAGGCGACAAAATGGTAAAAGCATACATCCAGCACGTACAACAAACAGCAGCAAATGGCGGCATTCGACAGAAATACAGCTCAAGCAGTTTAGTCAACTTTGTCTTCTAATTAAGCAAACCTCCCCGGGGGCCGCTGAGAGTGCCAGGCAAATAGAGACCAGATGCTGCAAGATGGCAAGGGCCCTCGGCTCTCAGCTTGCAAGGGGTTTGAAGGCATTGGACATGTCCCAGGAAACACTCAGCCACTTCTGTGGCACAACCTTTACAAAAGCCATCATATGTTGCCCTTTAGAAGGAAAATTGTGCTGACACATGGATTCTTAGTGTGTCTCCAGAAAATCTTCAGGGAGATCCCGTCCCTGGGAACCTCTGTCTGGATGAAAACTGAGTTGAGGGAGGAGAAAGTAATTTTAAATATCTCATATCATTCCATTTTTTTTAAACCACGATCTAATCAGGTTTTGTTTTGAAGAGAAGAGGGTGTTTAATAGCACTTCTCTTCCAATTAGACCTTTAATGTTAAGGAAAGGGCAAAGGGTTCCTGGATAGATGGAATCAATACGGGGATAGCGCCTATCAATGCCCATGAGATCAATAATCGGTCAATTTTCTAAACTTTTGTAGGTTCTCGAAACACTTGCAATGAGCATATGATCAAAAGCTAGCCCTGCATCTACCTCTTCCACACATTTGTGATCAGAAGGAGGTTTAAAATAGTTTCTCGTGTGTGTTACCCCAACACCATTTACCAGGTCACACACCAACCCCAAGTGCACGAACATCTGGGGTTGCAGAGAAAACAACCCCAAAGACAGCTCTGCTCTTCTCCTGTGTATGCCAACATGCTAGTAGCTTAATTATTGCCTGCAATCAAAACAAAATCTACATTCAGTGAAACAAAATGAAGGGTGACTCCAAATTACACTTCCTAACCAAGCAAAGATCAAGATTGTCACGAGTAGCCTTGCATATGAACATTGCCAGGCAGCACAAAGTGTTCCCAAGAACAATTTGCTAAACAGCGCATCAGACTGCACTGTGTTGTGTGGATAAACCCTGCCATAATTCACGGAAAAATAATACAAAATAAGGTTTCCTTTGTCAGTATCTGGAACTTCAAAAAGAGGCTATCAAATTAAATTTCTGAAGTTTTAAAGGAAAAAGCAGCTGAAAAACACATCCTCTCTGAAGCAGTAGTAAATTATGCTTGGAACAGAAAAGCAGCTGAAGGCAAGATTCCTTTGAACCCCAAACTGATGCAGTACTACAATTACTCATACAGTTTTGTGATAACCATCTCTCTGGTGTCCTGTTGCCATTCACACGAGGATGTGACTCTTCAGAAGTCTGTCAGTCCTCCTCTGGAGCTTCTCCTCTCCTCACATCATCCTCTTTGGAACAAGAGGCACCAGCTCAAACTCTGCCTTTACTGAGGGATACAGGCAGCCTGCATATATATCAGTTTGGCAGGCAGCGAGTAGGTAAACTGCTCCCTCTTCAAGTCTTGGTACGGCTCTAACTCAAACATCGTGCATCCATCAATACCAGACCCATGGTTACCTTGCCTCAGGGTCACAGATGTCATTCTCGTTAGCAGATTCATTAACAATATTGCACGGATAGAGGGTAAGCCCACGTGTAAACCACACTGTAAATGGCAAGAGTATGCAAGATTTCTCCTCTTTCCTTGAGATCAGTGACCTGAGCTTTCTTAATCTTACGGTGTGCTGGCTATCCTCAGGCATTAGCCGGCTAGAATTGCACCTGCTGAGATGAGTATCAATGGAAAGCCAGTGCCAGAGCCCTGGCTGTGAGTCATCTTGCTTGAGGTAGAGAAAAGCATTAGCAGACTGAGGAATCTTATTTCTTCTACCAAGGTGGCTGCACAGCCCAAGGATAGGTTTAGGGCTCCCAGTGAAAGCACAGGGAGATGGAGGAAGACAATTTATGATTGTATGGTTATTGTTAAGACTTAATAATTTGGCACGATACAGACTTCAGTGAAATCAGTGGGAATTTTTCCTTCAATCACAAAACAAATTCAGCTTCTATAGTTTCCTTTTAATGCATACATTTTCAGCAGCAACTTTCAATTTTTCATTCAACATCACATCAGCATAATAAAAAACCTCTAAGTGAACGGGCACCTTAATTACCTTTCCAGCAAATAAGAGGTCCCTTTGACAGTACACCTTGGGAGCTCCTTACTAGGTAGTACTTTAAGTGCTTCTGCTTCTTTGGCTGAGTGGTTAATTTCAGGTTGATATGATTGGAAAACTCTGTGAAGTACCGAAATCCTCTTTCTCCACAGCCTATACAATTCCCAGAAAATCCTGGACAAATGAAACAGAAACACACAGATTACATGGCTTTGTGAGAGCTGCTAGGAATAAAGCCACTTCAACCTACCTGCACATCCAGTTCAGGGTGATTAGAGGCCTCCAGCCACCATGGGTGTCCTGCTCAGACCACTCCTCAGGCAGCAGCCAAATCCAGACAGATTTTAGTCTTAACTTTTCTGAAACTCTTCCATCTTTCTAGGCCATACCAATTTATGCTGAATTTCCACCACCAGTGACCCACTCTACCCAGAGCAGAGAGCTACTTGTGGGGTCGGGAGGAGCTATGGTGCCAGACAAGGAAATTTCCATAGGCTTTCCTATTTCTGTTCCGCATTTCTACATTAAATGCATGGGCTCCAAGCTGCATGCTTCCCTCTCTTAAAATAGGGGGCTAACCCAGAGTACCCACTGCAACTTTGTGTAGCTAAAATTAGCCTAACATCTAGCGACTTTCTCTGAGACTCCTCATACAAGGCACTCTCCAAGTAAGCTGGACCTTACACCATATTAAAGGCTTCAAAGCATTTATTTAAGGTCAACTGTTTAGATTTTCATTGCAAAAAGTAGAGGTGCTTCAAAATGTTTGTGAAAACTTGGAACCTCTCATGAAAGTAACAGATTTAGGAGTAAAAAAAATAAGCAGAAGGCTCCTTTTCTGTAATATTTCTCACATGGTTTCATAAAAGAAGATGAAATTTTGGGTTGAGGTTGCAGGCACAGGGTCTGGATTGAGGACTATATGCACCCCTGATTTCCTGTGGCATTCACAGCTACATCAATGGCAATGTTGCACTGCAGCAGTCTGAAATCTTCTAGAACAAAGCACAGAGCATATTCTAAAATGGGCCTGCCCTTAAATCCTTGTTGTTTGAATAAACCCACTTCCTCTATTATCTAATGCTGAACAATTACATTCTTTCAGCTTGTTTGCTACTCCACTAATCTTTGAATTACTTTCAACCTTTGATGAAAAAATACTTTATATTCTTTCTGGAACATCAATAATGATTTAAAATAGGGCTAGGCTGATGAGTACCTAGCAGAAATCCTTTATTTTTGATTTTTTTCCATTTATTAATCAGTTCAAGACCTATAACAGAACGCATTTTTCATCCTCATTACTATCATTATTTACCACAACACCAAGCACATCGGAGAACACTGGTTCCTACCTACACTCACCTGTCAGCCAAACTCCCGGTTTTATGAAAAATACTTCAGCCTGCCTGTCTGGCAAAAAGCATTTTCCATAAAACTCCTTATTAATTAGGCCATTGTCTTCAGCCTAATTATGCCTTATTATCATATTTTACCATCACATTGCTGAGGGTGCCAAGAAGTAAGCTTCTTCATCCTGTTTCTCCCGAGACTGAATCAGTTCTTCCCTTATTGCTTGCAACCCAGAGGAACTATTGGTGCATTTCCATAGTGGTCAGAAATAGTCACTAGGGTCTCACAGGGTTACTGAGTCAATTCTTTGCTCTTAGGTACCAGCTACAGAGCCACAGAGGTACTTGAATATGTAACATCAGCAATGCCAGAGCAGAGCTGTGAGTCACTAGGCTCAGTATCAAATGATATCAGAGATGAGAAATTAATACAGACCTCAGGGTGCGAGGTGGAGGGCTTACCAACAAAGACAAGCGCAACCACATTTGATTAGATTGAACACCATCTGTCTGTACATCAGATAGTTCGTATTGATCAACTCTTGACACTTCCCCTGCTCACTGGGGAGCAGCTCCTATGAGGACGGCAGCACACACTGGATTATTCCACGATCCCACTTCCCCAACTGTATCCAGCAAGGACACATCACACCACAGCTCTCACTTAATTCATGCCAGTGAGATTTCTTCCATAGATGCAAAGCTTTGCAGCACGTGGTAGCATATTAAATATGCTTAAGGGAGACAAAACATTAACTATCATATGTACAAAAAGGAGGTGTTTCCAACAGTTATGCAGAATATTGATTGTTTGCACCAGAATTTGAGCAGTGTGGTTAAATAAGGGTATTTATGCTTCATTGTGATTTTTTTCCTCTGTTGAAAGGTCTTTCTCAATATATGCCAAGCAGAACAGTGACTAGACAGAGAAATGAGAACATAAATGCAAATCAGGCTATAGGAGCCAAAATACATTAAATCACTTTTACTAGTCTGTTGTGTACCAGTAGTCAGCCAGGCAGGAAATCTAGGTGTTTACGTGCCTGTCTTCAATGATCAAGAAACATTCTTGTATTAAAATTTTAAAAGCTCATAAACATACCCAGCTGTGATATGTGTTGTTTTTTATAATCTATGTATTCGAGAGTCAAATTACCCTCAGAGCTCCTGTTGAAAACAATGTTCCTGGTGGAGCCAAGGGCAAAATCTGTCCTTTAATCCACAGAAAATAGCTCATCTTCTACAGTTGCATGAGCATATTTCTTCTTAATGTTGTAAGCATCAGTAGAGATAAAGAGTATCCGGATAGTTCACATTTAAAATGCCAGGCTGCAATTGTCTTCAGCCCACACAGAAATCACCCAGCTTTGACTGTGGTTAATTGTGGAATCAGGAACTTGTTTTAAAATGGGCTTTTCAAGGGGAGGTTCAGCTGCGGGCTTAATTTAATAAAAACAAGCCTCTCCTCAACATATTTCTAATAGAAAGTCATTAGCTGAAATGATTTTAGGCAATTTTGGACCGACCAGTTTCTCTGAATTATTATGGCACAAAGAAAGAAAACCTCTTACCTAAAAGTGCATTTTTTCCATGATCATCTGGCAAAAACCGCTTGTCGACAGCGCAGACGAGAATGTGCTCAGGAAGGTTTGGAGACTTGGCTCCCACTAACAGGAAGCCTGCTGGGATATCAATTTGCTCCATGCACAGAGATACTAACCGTAAATCCTTGCCTGCTTGACAAAAACCTGGGGGAAAAGACAACAAAAAAGATAAATCTTCAAAAGATGATGTTTAAATTTCTTCTTCTATCAGTTCCATAGGTAAATGGAGCTTTACAACTTGATGCAGTAATCTATTTATTTTTTTTAATTACCTTTTTCAAGGGAAATTGAGAAAACTGAGAAAGCATCTCATCAAATCCACCAGCTTAGGGTTTCAGGGACAAAAGATATATTTTTTTTAAAGAGACCCTGAACATACACAGGCAGAGAACAGAGATGTCTCTAAAGATAAGACATCAAACGGCTCTGAAACTGTTAATTTTTCACAAACACTGAGAATAAGAAGGAAAACTCAAGATTTTAAAACAGAAAACAGCTCTTAAAACATCCAAATATTTTTTTTTAATTTGCTGAATTTTAGTTTTCACTCTAAATTCAGAAATACCAGTTTCAGTTTTGTTGCTTACAACAGGCTGCCACTGGTACATAAATATCAGTAGTACAAAAGTATGATAAAGATTGGTGCCTGAAGTTTGGTACTGACCAGTAAAGGAAAAATATTATCAAATATAATTTCTAAGCTGTCTCTAGATTAAGCAGGAGATGAAGTAATTCACCACTTCAATAAGAGGTTGCTCTTTTCAACCTGCTCTACAACTATTTACTGCTCCTGTCAGCTCAGGCACAGGTCTTTCAGAAGGCATTTAGCATTTCTTCCTGCTTCTTTTAAGTCAGAAGCTCACTCAGCCATCTCTGGACATGCATTTTGAGATGTACAGCACGTTTTCTATAAATCTCCAGTTGAGTTTCTTGAAGTCCCAACGGGCAGCAAGACTTCTAGCCTCCAGTTACTTTTTCCCTGCGCACACATACGCAAAGAAAATCAGAACACAACGCTGGTTGTTGGACTGCTGGTTAACAGCAGGGTAAAACCAGTGATGCGGGCACAACCGAGGAGCAGAGTGGGCTTCCTCTGCTTCATGTCCTGCAGCGAATAGGTGGCAGGTTGGGACATACGAAGAAGCAGGACTGGGCAGCCCAGAGCTCGGGACTCATGGTGAGTTTGGTAGCCACCCACCAAGCAGCCACATGCAGGGTTTTCTGAAGGCTGGATGAGATAGCTTTGGGGTTTTCAAATCCCTGAGTAATTTGGGGACCTTGGGAGGCTGACATGTACCAGTATTTGTTCAAACTAAAGCCAACTCCGAAGTTAGGTGTTTTTTTTTTGACTTAAGTACATGAACAACAACATTTAAAGACTTCCATTAACTTCAGCACTGGATCACAATCTCCCATCACGTTTTTGTTCAGCTCCATCATATTCTTTTTCTTGAGCAAGATCTACTTTCAAATTAGGAAGTGACAAGTGTCAGAGAAAGCAGCAGTCATCTGGTTTCCTCTCCAGGAAAGGACATGATCGCAGGGGGCTTTCTGATTTCCCTTAGGCAGAAGGCAGTGAAAGCACCACCAAGTTCTATTAGGAACCAGACTCTACAGTGTGTTCCCATCCAGTTCCCACTTCTCCAGCTTAAGAGTAGCCTCACAGCCTGGCCTCACACCTCTCCCAGCAGTAGATGATGGAAAAAAAACTATGTTGGGATAAATACAGAGTCCAAAGGTATCACACAGTCATCCTCTGACCACCTCTCATTAGCTACAAGTACAAAAGTACAGTGATGTAGACAACACATGCATGCATCAGCATGAGCCAATATTTCAAAATAAAGTATCATCATGATGGATCTTGTTTCAACATGATTGTTAAAAACACATCAAAATTAAATTTGAAATTACTGTAGTATCTATTAAGACTTAAGCAATTAATGTATATTCATTACACTTAATTTAAAATATTATTTGAACAGCCCACAGCTGGTACAGAAGTTGTAAATAAATACCAAAGGCACTGACTGAGCATCTGGAAACATAACGTGATCATAGCTTAACCCAGAGGCACCTCAGCCAGCATCAATACGTGTCTGCACTCTCATGTACTGCGCTGAAACACTTGGTTTAAAACCTCAGCAAAGACAATGAAAGCTAATGGTTTTTTATTTTAAATCTCAAAACTTTACCAGGCAAGGGTGATGTGCAAAGTGGAAGGCATCCAGTCAGCTGTCATAAACCTCCTGGCAAGCAGCAGCTTGCTGAGGACACAGTACCATGCATGTTGGGTCTTGTGCCTACACACCCACGATGTGATGAACCAGTTGGTGGCTCGATGTTTCCTTCAGCCGCTCAGTTAGCTCAGGTGGAGCAGCAGCTCATTCAGGCTGAGAGCAAGCCCAGATTTGCCCTCCCACATTCCTTCTCCCAGCCAAGGAATTAAACTGAAGGGCCTGAAGTCTTTATTTATTTACAAATCGATGAATTGTAATGATTGCTTACCAATGAGAAGGAAGCCAGGTTTTAGGGGAAAAAGCATTAAAACTGCCTACTTAAAGCAAAACTTCTTTCCTGATGAGATGCAATTGGATTACGTTAAACTCTTTTTAAGGTGTATTCCCTAAAAACGTATCAATCCTAATCAAATGGAGGGCTGCCAAGTTAAGTATTTACTAGACTTTTCACTGGAATTTATATCTTAAAAAGTTGAGATAAATATGTGAACAAAAATCCCTTCCATTCAAAATATTAATCTGCTTATTTGAATACTTATGTCATTTGGATATTATGTCCTACATTTTCGAAACAGGCCTCAAGTATTTTGGGCATTCAGTAAAATCTGAGTATCTGACAGACTTGAAGAATACCGCAGTGTATCTAGATTTAAAATAGAAAAATTACCCCGCCGCTGACAATGTGGGCAAACAGGAAATCTGTAGATAAGGATTATGAAACAGCAAGTGTGATAAGATTTCAAGACAGACTTAAACCTGTCTCTCTAAACAATTGTTCTTTAGCCTTGTCTCTACCCCAAAAAATTCTCAAGAAATGCCCAGAAGCACAAACATCGACAAGAAAGAGGCTTTTGAATGAACTGTTAGCAATACTTGGACTCCAAAGAAAGCAGGAATTTGATTATCAACATTGTTAACATTTCAGTATGGACTTGCTTTCCAAAAGAGTACATGGCTGATATCCAGAGAGCTGCATATAGCAGTTGGACAAGGGGTAATAGTCTTGAACTAAAAAACAGTAGACTTAGATTAGGCATTAGGAAGAAATTCTTCACTCAGAGGGTGGCGAGGCACTGGCACAGGCTGCCCAGAGAAGCTGTGGCTGCCCCATCCCTGGAGGTGCTCAAGGCCAGGCTGGATGGGGCTTTGGGCAACCTGGTCTGGTGGGAGGTGTCCCTGCCCATGGCAGGGGCTGGAACTGGGGGATCTCTGAGGTCCCTTCCAACCCAAACCAAATCATATGCGAAACTTGGAGCCTCTTTGGATGCTCGAAGCTTTTGGTGTCCCGGTGAGGTGAACCAATGCTCCAGCACCCCACAGGATCTGGGACAAAGCAAAATCCAGGCAAGGAGCAAAACAACTCCATCTACTATTTGAGCTGCTGCACATCACCATTTTGTGCGAGTCCCCAAGTGGATAAGGCTCAGGAAAACCCTAAGAAACACCCCACAGCATCACAGCACCGTAACAAGTTGATGAGCATTACTCTAACCTCCTGGCAGTACCTACTGAAGCAAACCTATGTGTCTCAGTCTGATATCCCAGGCAACAGCAGCCTCTTCCCTCAGACTTGTTGCGAACCCACTTAATATTTCTCACCATTTAGGCTCTGTAGGACTGTACTGTAGGAACGCTGCATCCCGTATAAGCTACAACCAATACCTAAGATTCACTCTCTGTATCCGTCATCTCTTACTCCACCCAAAGTAGGATCTCTCAGATCCCTTCCATGCCCCTCTTCTTCCTCGCACAATCTCCTCCTGCATCGTCCTCCGCTTTGGCTGGCGACTTCTCTGCATCACAGGTATGTACGTGCAGCCCGGCTGGCCAGCACATGCCTCTGTGATGCCTGGGCTGTGGAAGAGCAGAGCTGTAATTACTTCTCTGCCCTGGGGGACACCAGTTTGGGGGCACGGCTGTCAGCTCCTGAGCTTTACAAGCCTTGCTGATATTAGGGTCTGCCAAACGTGGCAGAAAGCCACTTCCCCCGGCTCCCCTCCAGCCAGGGACAAGCCCTGCTGATGGACGAGCTGCAACAGGGGGCAGCACAGGCAGAACCTCGGAGCCTTCAGGCTCCTGTTCGCTCACCAGCTGCCACAGCACCAGCAAGGGGAGGCTGGGGAGTTTGGCCAGGTCCACTTGGTGCTCGCTTAGAGCAGGAGATGCTTGGAGAACGCAAATCTGCCGCTGAGCAGTGAAAATCTCGAATCTTCCTTCGGAGAAACGCGGATGGGACACTCTCAAGAGGCAGCCATCCGTTCCTTCCCTTGGCTTTCGGGACCGCAAATCACTCTTCTGGTTGAATTCCTGCTGCTTTTTTAAACTAAATGAGAAAATTCCACACCAGAAACATTTATTTGGAAGCCAGTAATTGACTGCAGGGAAAGAAACGAGGGATTAACCACTTTCTCTGTTACATTCTAGCTATAAAATTGCATTTTTCTAGCCAGCAAGCAGCACAGAGACCCCAACCTTTTCCCCCCTCTGTTTTGCATGATTTTCCATTGCAATATAATTATCTGCTAGAAATAAGCACTTCCACATTAGTAAGGACAAAACAGGATCGCTCTGTACAAGTACAACTTGTGCTGCCCACGTTGAGGATTTCAACAATGCAAAGTCTATTTAAATTTCATAGCTTTTCATTTATAATCGAGTTAGCACCTAAATTTCCATGCCAAGCAGCCCTAACACACAGCACTCTTAAGAAAAAAGAATGGCACTTCATAGTCCCACCGGCTTATGGACCTATTATGGACGTCTGAGCAAGAAGAGGAGAAAACCTCTGAGCCACTGAAATAAATCAGCTTCTCTTTCTGAAATTATTTATCAACATATAAAAAGTATAAAACCCATAAAAAGTAAAAGCACACAGCCGAGCCATGCCATTTAAATATCATCTTCCCACAGGATTTCAGCTTTGTTTTAAATAAGGAACAGGCATTTATATTCCAATTAGAGATTTGCAAATATCAAGAGCAGTCACAAAAAAAGAAAAAAAGAATAATGAATGGCTTTCACAGACGTTATCTGCATTTCTTTGAAAGCAAAGTCATTAGTTTTTGCTTCTGAGAAGCACATTTGAATTCTCTGGCATTACTTCATTTAGGTTAATGCATCTTTGTGAAAATAAAAATGTATCCCCACAACTGTTCACACCCAGCGGTCCTGGAATCTTCTTAAAATTGACGTTTTTAATATGTCTTTCCTTTAGGGACCAATGGCAAGCAGTGGTTTCAGTGTGGGATACCAGCCCCTTGCTGTACTGCAATAAATGGGGTATTTTGCATAAGAAATTAGCTTCCAAGCATTGCATATGAATGACTGCTCGCTGTCACTTGCTATTGTAACTTCACAGTAACTGATCAGGTGTTAAGTACCTGCTTACCTAATTGCCTCCGAAACCACCTCGGCCCTTCTTTAAGCATCAGGTAAACTGAGGGTTTAATAACAAAAGAAAGGTGCTACTATTGTGCTTCCCACAGCCTGCATAAAAATGCTGTTCCACAAATTAGAAACGGGCTGTTTTAAAGCTACAGCAAACAAGCGGTTAAGGACACTTTCTTGTATTATTTTGTTGCATATTTGAGGTACCTGTACGAAAAGTATTTTTCTTGAAGCCTTATTTTCACGGAAGAAAAAGGTTAGTTAAAAAAAATCACGCTGAGCAGAAAAAAAGGCCCTGAAAAGATGTGAACCCCCCAAATGCTATTTTTCTTGATTGCAAAGCCCTTACTTTTATTGCTAATAGTAAGGATCAATGACAAACGCGTTTGCTCTTTCCAAGGTCTAGCAGGAAAGTTAAGGGATGTAATATTATGGCCAGCTCAGAAGGTACACCCCACAAACTGTCACTTACTTGTGAAGCACTCGTTTTTTACTGATGAAAAAAAGGGCAACGAGAGCTTTCTGCACCCATGTGACTGACAACTCAGCCATCTGAGCAAGAGAGCAGGTCATCACAGAGAATAATATAACGATTATGGCATAAATCCCGAGTTCAGGAAAAGCAAACAGCACAAATTCCTTAAAAGGGAGAAAGATTTCACCCTCTCTGTGCTAAAATGTGGGAGACGGGTTTTACAGCAAGAGGAGCTCTGAACTGCAGATTCGAGCACCAAGATTTTGCTCTTGGATAAGCAATGAGACGCATGCTCAGCTTAAAGCATCCAAACAGTTACAGGGACTTCAATTAGTCTAACAGTATTCTTTAACATTTTCCTAATGTTATTTATCTTTGTAATTAAATAACTAAGATAAGGAATGTAAACAACGGCAGCGATTGTATCTTAGTCTCTGGCAGGGCATATTCATGAGAAGAAAGATGAGCTATCAGATTAATATCTTGCTGAGATACGGTTTGCAGAGCGAATGTTTTGGAACCTGGGTGTTTTAAACAGGAGTAGAACTGTTCTAACAGATCATCAGCAATGTTTTTTAACAACGTATTTTCCTTTCCAGACACAAAAATACTGTTCTCTTCCATCAGCTCCTCAAGGAAAACACTAGAGAGGGATAAATATTGTAAAGTTAGAATGGTAAAGTTGACAAAAAGTAATGAACAACCCTAAGATTTGGAAGATGAAGTAACTTTCTCCTAACGTACTCTGATCCTAAGACTTCTACATGAAAATCAAACCACAGAACTGCCTGTGTAAGGTAATCTTTTTCCAGGACATACCAGAGAGCGTAATATTGCATGTACACATGAGCATATAGTTACACGTGCTGTGTGTGTGCAGCATAACTAGGCATAACCTTGTGACAAGCAGTATGCAGCCCCACATGACAGTGGGCACTTGACAGCCAGCAGCATGTCAGCCAGATTGCCTTGCAGAGCAAACCTGGGCAGAGGCAGCAAAGGCACCTCTGTAGTATTTAATCTTTAATCCATTTACACAGCGTCTCAGCTCTTGTCCTGGTTTTATACCACTGTTTATAATACACTCTTTCACGCTTTCCCCTTCTCTGCTCCTACCAATTTAGAAGCCTCCAAAGTATAGCAAACACTACTTTTTGCAGTCACCAGCATCACAGCTGAATAATAAACTCCCCCAGCAATATTCCCCAGCTTCCCCTAGCACCCAGTCTTTCTATTCTTTCTTTTAAAGGTAACTGAAGGTACTCTGTTATATCGTTATGGAGGGCAAACATGCTGCTGTGAACTACATTCAGAAAGGATAAAGTAAAAAAAAAAAGTCAACATTTGCCAACTATCACTCCCCAAAAGGTCAAAGGATTACCAATCACAAGTATATCGCTGCATATAACCATACACTAAAGTAAAAAATCATTCTACAAACTGCAATTTTTTAATGACTCCTACACAAGGAAGCCCATAGTTCCTGGTGAGAAGGGTTGTTTGTTTTGAAAGGGGGGGGACCTACATTTTTAAGAATAAGTATCAGTCGATCCTCTGTCTTTAAGGAAGTTAAATGTTCAGAACACACAATTTCTTCAGAATTCACTATTAGGGGATAAAATGAACCACTTAGATAAAGTTTACTTGGTCCATTAGGTATATTCATAATGACGTGACCCTTTCACACATTTAAAAGAAAACAAAAACAGTATCATCAGAAATTTTCATCACCTTGAACAATAATCAGGACAGCTCAGGGTAAGCAATCAAGCAGATGGAGAAGAGAAAACAGACAGGCTTCCACTACCATCCCTCTTATCACCCTGGTAGCAGAAGGAACACCAAGTCTCCTTCCCATTTTCTCCCTCCAAACTCTTCCTGCTCCCCATGGAAGCAAGAAAATCCAGCTTTGTCTGTGTTTCTGAGACACTTCAGTGAATAAGCACTCTGTCAAGAATTTTGGGATAGAATGAAAACCAGCTATGCTGATGCTGACTCAAGTAACTTCTTTGAGGACAGTGAACCAATGCTGACCAAAGAAAATCAGGGGCTTTCCTAAACTAATGAAGTGTCACAGTGAGTTTCAGACACTGCTTTCAAGTAATACATTACATTTTATGTACTGAAGAAAGTCCTCTTACTCTGTGTTTTCTCAGATTTAACGCTTTGACTATGAACAGTGCTTCCAGACTTCCTAGCTCAAGACTTTCCAGGTTTAGAGTCCACACATAATGCTAAGAACTGGTTGTATAGATCCCGCACGTAAAAGAAAGGACACTAACCATCAGTAGTGCAAGACCCTTCTGGGGCAGGTTTTTGTGAATATGGGATCGGTGGACTGCTCGAATCTGACATGTCTTCATCCTCCTCTTCATCTTCCATTTCATTAACCGTTTGGTTGGCAGAAAAGTCCAGGTTTCCATTTTGCGAGTAGCGATGGACTAACTCTTTATCCAACTCTTCCACCTTTGGCTTCACATCTGAGCAAGAATAAAATATAAAATAAGTTCTCCATCAGTATGTGCATCTATTTCCTTTTAAAATAACCAGTATACCATTCTCTCTCCTCAATGAGGCCTCAAATTCAGATTTTGTGTTACACAATCAACTGCAGCACAGCTTTTTGTTTTTTAATAAAACATATCCCACCCTTTTCTCACACAGAAAAACAATTGAAATGTGCCATACTTTCATGGTTACCTTCCGGCAAGAAAGGAGGCTGGTCAGGATCCAAGTACAGCTGTGAGAAGATCGGCCGTGGGACAACGCTACTACATCTCAGAGAAGCTTCTATGGAGTTATGAAGAGCTTCTTCAAAACGGGCAGATTTTAGTTGCCCCGCATATGAATTCCCCATGATCTAAAAACACAAAGAAAACAGTCGATAAGTGCATGGGAAAGTGCATACACAGACCATTTACAAATGATCAGTGAGGTCTTTTTATGTCCATCATGACAGGCATTAGCTGAGACATGAAGTTAGCAATAATGCATGCTGTGAAAATAACACCTCTAACTAGTACTACATGTTCACATTTCTCTCCAAATCTGGTGGACAGAGAGACATCCTCTCATTTCAAGAACAGCTTTTAGCACATCTCAACCAGCTGCTTTGTGTCTGCTGCATGTATTTCCTCTCAGCAATCTCAAGAACCCCTCTCATGTAGAATTTAATGGGGGATAGATAAAATCATTATTATTAACGCTCATTTTCAGAGCAGACTACAGAACTGAACATTAAAAATGTCAAGTTTGGCTTTATCACTAGTTGTCTACCTAGGTCTACATGATTTAACTCATGGTTATGCCATCATTTACAGAGAACTCCTATATAGACGTCCAATAACTTGAATTTTTTCTCTTGCTAATATTAACTGGAATTATATAGAAGGTCAGTCCTCTGTCTCTTCAGCAAATGCTGTGACATGGTTTTATTTTAAATTGCTCTTTACACTAGTATAGTGATAACGATCATTAAAATATCTATTTTGACAGTTAACATTCATGTTTATATGAATGATGAATTTATGAACTTCATGACATACTCAAGCACAAACAGACCTTTAGATCACCACTTCTTGGGTGACATTATACACCCCACAGCCTGTTATATTTGTGCTTTCAGCATTAGGATACAGACTCTCAAATGTAAACATTTAGTAACAGGATGGCCATGGAAGGTTTTACAATGAGCTGCGAGACTCAGTGAAACATGAAATTTTCCACTTTGCTGGGTCATTACACCATATGACATTTACTCCAAAGAAACGATGATCTAACATTTTCCAATATTCACAATACACGACTGCATTTTCAGATCATTTTATTTCAACAGAGGTAACTTTTCCCCCGTTAAATCAATAGATAGAAAAGTACAAAACCTTATAATGTTATCTTTGTACTTTCCTTCACTAGATGTCACCTAGCCCTATGACCAGGAAGAGACCTTGGCCAAGAAGATAAGTTGGCATTTAGAAAATCTACAATTCTGTTCGTGGTTGATTGCTGGGTTGCTCAAGGTCTTCAGTGCCACCTGTAAAAGGGCAGCGATGATGACAGCTGCTTACCACAGTGTTTGGGAGCTCCTGGTATAGACAAATACCCAAGAGCTACCTATTTGTACCCTCCGGAAATACTTAAGCATGAAGTTTATCTAATTGCTCACCTCAAAGGTTGGAGAGAGGCTCCATTCCTTGTTCAGCCAAAGACTTTGTACAGCTTTGGGCAAAAAAAAAGAAAAAATCCACAGCTCTCACTTAGCCCTGATTCTAACAAATCTGGGAGCAACAGCATTTCCCCACCCAAACTGGAGGCAACATGAATATATACACAATTTCTTAATATAATGCATTCAGGTATTTCAGCAGTAATGTATTTAAGACAAACAGATTTTTTTTTCTTTAAGTTTTCATTACATTTGAATAAGGCAGGGGACGTGTATAAACACATAACTGTGAAGCAAACCAGGAAAAAAAAATACGCTGAAGCAGGATTAGGGTTGCAGTACGAGTCTTGTCAGGTGTCTTTGAACAAATAGGTGGAGAACAACTACCTGACTGAAATCCTGGTTTTACTGAAGCCAGTGATGATATTTCCACAGATCTCAGTGAAATCTTGACAAACACATAGTTAACTAGGATTTCAGGAGTGCATCCAAAATAAAAGTCTTCAGTTAAAATGTCAGAGCATCATCTACCTGAAGTCGCTTCATATGCCACATTTTCTATAATCTATGTGATATATACAGTTATGCCAATTACTTTAATTTTGGTGGGAAAGTATTAATTAAATACAGTTTGCAAAAAGGCTGAGGTGTTGGCTAGGCAGGGCTGTTTTATTTGCCTTCATGGAGTCTACCCAGAGAGGCCTGCCTGTGGAGGGCGACTGTCATGGACTGCTGTGAGACAGTGCATTAGGACGTTTCTTGCTTGCCGAGAGAAAACAAAACAAGAGTACAAGGACATTGGAAATGCCAAGTGAAGGAAGAATTAGGAATGGGTCTCTTCACGGCTTGGAAATGGGGCGGGAAGAAGGCCTGTCTCGGGTGCATGAAGGCAAGAGGGCGCAGGCAGAGGTACCGTGAGGGCGAGTGGCATGGCGAGGAGTGGCAGCAGCACAGCAGCCTCTCAGCTGTGGCAGGGGAAGCTAGGGCCCATGGAGACCAAATTCAGAGAGCCAGAGCTGGGCAGCTGATGCCCTAACACCGCCCGAGGCTATTAGGACAGCTGGGCCTCATGTGGAGTTCAAGGGAGCTGTGGGGAGAGGAGGGGCTGAAGAGACCCTCCCTGTGACAGAAAGCAGCTCTCCGGGGCCAGCCTTCTGATCCAGCCTGCCCAAAAGCCACAGGCAGCGATTTAAGACCTCCATGTTTCTGCTTTTGAATCTACCCTAAATCTACCCTGGTGTAATTAGGAAACACGGTAGCGAGCACACCGCAGACGCTCTAGAAATGGGTCTGTGTGGAGGGGCTCTGATGGTGCTGCAGAGAGTTAAGGGAGAAAACAAAGTGGTGGGGGTTGAAGGGAAACATAGAGGAAAAAACGTTTCTGTTATGAAAACATAAAATGATAACATGAAAACCTGTTGTCCTTGCATTAAAATGTGGCCAAGATTAATGATTTAACACAACTGGACATGATTAAGGAACTCCTCCCTAATCTCATACATCTATTTTTCTTCTGTTGACACCAGTATACCAGTGCCCACTCCGACACCCACCATCCTGCGCCCTGTTATGTAAAATATGTATGTGTAGTAAAATTTGCTGCTGCTCTTTCTCATTCTCCCCCCAGAAAAGGAAGAAGGTTCAGTGATCCCCCCTACCCCACCACCCCTGCAACTCCAGTCAGGCAATTTTTATTGATGTCCTTAAAACTTACTACAGAGAGACTGAAAGACACGATTAAAATGGAATAATTTCAAACCGAAATCTGAGGCAAAACACTGAGATGGAGGAGAATTTCCTTAGGTTCAGCTGATTTGCACTTCCCAGCTCTATCACTCTGCAGGAACTTCTCTGCAGAGGTCCTGACACTAAACCACCATGACTCCCTACCCAGCACATCCCAAGCGTCCCCACTGCTGCTGTGCTTCTTCAAAGCAGATTTACTAAGCCCACTTCACGCCTTCTTTGCAGTGGCCCAGCACTGAACTGGAGGATTAAGAGAGATTTGCTGGAGTTAGAGAGCTGCCTTACAGCATCTGAACTGGGGTCCTTACAAAGAGACGTGAACAAGGCACTCCTGAAATTCCACTGACCTGAAGGCAAGCGGAGAAGTATTAATGCTGCGGGCTTTAATCAGAAATCAAATATGGACACGATTTACAGAAAGCAAAACTAGGACTGCTGGGCGCTTCCATCCAGACAGAAATGGAAGTAAGGTGACAAAAAATGTCAATGATGGATTTTAGCTCTGCATCGCTTAACTGTGCTGTGAAGTATGCAGGGAAATCTGAATGACTCTTTCAAAAATAGACACTGAATTTACAAGGAATTCATGTCGGTTCAAGCAAATAATCTTTTTTTACACAGTCACCTGGGTTTCAAGAGATCTGTGTAGAAACAGGACACTTGGATGTTCAAGAAGAAGCAGAGCCCAGCTCCTTTGCAGCTCCGTCAGACTGGCAGCATTTGAGTACTGTAAACACTACAAACTCATTCTAGTTAGAAAAATAGGTGACTGTGGCCCTGTGCATATCCCTCCCTCAAAAAAGAAAAAAAAAAAAAAAGGAAAAAAAAAAAGGTTACCTTCTGAAAGTGGACTGTTACCCAGTAATTCTTCCGAGCAGATCTACACACTGAGCTGAAGGCTTTGCTAGTAAAAATATAATCAGATCATTCAGTACACCAGATACCACATATTTGGCCTCCAGGTGGGTCATGACCCCAGCAACTTTAAAGGAGAGGAACTGAACTGGAGGATGAGGGAGGGGGTGAGTGTTGTTGTTATGGCTTAAAGCAATTTCACAATTACCTGATAGCGAATGATGAATCTGATGCAAACACCCTCCATTAAGTCGGCTCTATCAAGTCCTTACTTTGTGTTTAACCTAATGATGTAATTGTATTCTCCAAAACACATAATCTGACTTCTGATCTGGCCTAACCCCACAGAAAAGTTTCTCTTCAAAGGAAAAGAAAGCAAGTTCCTTGACAAAGGCACTGCCAGGCCCAGGACAGCTTCTGTATCTCAAAGGGTCATCTTAGGCAAAGAGAGACCAGGCATCTATTTATACTGTAAAATTGTTTGGGAACTGGTTGTTTCAGGTACATCTAGCATTTTCTACTATTTGCATCGTCCTTATTGATGTTCTTAGTCATTTATTTATTTATTTATTTATTTATTTATTTACATTAGGGAATTGTTAGGATCTATCACGAACATGCATACAGCAGAAAGGATGGCAGCAACCAACAACAGTAACAAGCATATATGATAATTAAAATTAGGCAACAATGACAGAAATATATACCCAGCATTAACTGTAGCACTGAGTGGGGAAAGACTTATGGGAGGGTCAATACAAGAGTGCAAGACAAAGTGTTCTCATTAACAGACCCCTCATCCCACAGCCTTTGTAAGATCCTTCCCCCTCCCTCCACAGTCCTGTCATGATCCTGAGATTCTCACCCTGCTTTTGTCTGTCTTAGGGATATTCAAGCTCAACTGTAAAAGAGTTTACAGTTTTAGGTGGTGACCGACAGCCAATTCATTCACAAAGCCTTCCAGGAAAAAATATTGATTAGTTTGTACTGACTGTTTACAGTGGTGTTTCCTTTTCCTTTTTATTTTTTCATTTATTTTGAATAAATGATAAAATATCTTTTATCACTTAAAATCTAGTCTTTCAGCCTGATGC